CGTAGAAAATTCAGCACAGAAATCTGGACCCTTACATAGACAGAATGTGCTCTGTCCATTCTTCCAATTCTGCCTCCTGTGACTATTGCCAGGGTGCCACAGAGGGGACGTATAAGACATTGTCTCTCATTCTGTTTGGACCCCAGATGAAAAAAAAGACACCACATGCCTTCCCCATATCCAAACACAGTTACCAGGCAGGCAGCTTCCTGGCTGGGTCTTACAAGGGCTGTGGGCTTATTTTTACTTTCAATGTTGGACTGTGTGGGGGAATTCACTCCACTTTAACAGAGCGGGAATACATTCAGCTGAAATACTTAATTTTCCAGACTTCCTCGCAACTCAGTGCATGCATGTGGCCCAATCCTGGCAAATGAGATGTAAGCGCAAGTAGAAGGGCCAAGTATGGGGAAACCTGCTTAAAGGATGCCAGCTCAGCCACAGTGGGTGCTGCACACCCGGAATGTGAAAGTATTACAGAAGCTTCAGCAGCCATCTTGGACCTTGAAGTGATCATGAGAGAACAAACCATGAATGCTAGAGAAATGGAGCATCCTTGAGTGACCTATCTGTCCTGGTCTACGAGCATCTAAATTTCCATCTTGGGTAAGCATTTCTTTCTTCCAATCTGTTAGTGGCCAAGACAGTTCCTAATTGTCAGGGTGCATAATTTTTAGGGTCTGTTACTCTATACTGGGCGGGCTCAACCCCTTCTGCTGTCACTGTCTTGCCAGGGCCCTGGTTCCCTATGGCGAGAGGCCGTTGAGACCGGGCCTTCTGTAGGAACTCAGCAGGCATCACTTCCTGGGGACTTTTTCTGAGCACAACACATCTTAGCCTGCATCCATTTCTCTTCACTCTGGGGCTGAGGAGCGTGGGGTCCTCTCCCGGGCTGTGCCATCTGATTCCCTGCTGCCCGTCTCTGGTGGCCTCGCAGTCTTCTTATTGGGCCTACACAGCCCTGGGAGGTGCTCCTCAGGAGTGGAGTCCTGGCTTGGCTGGGGCTCAAAAGGATGCCCACCCAGAGCCCAGGGAGCACTTCTCATTTTGAGGCAGGCTTGCTCTCATAAGTTGCTGAGGCTGGCCTTGAACTTGGGATCTCCTGCCTCTGCCTCCAGAGCTGATGTTAATAGGTGTGCACCACTGTACCCAGCAGAATGTTCATTTTCTTCCGTCTTCACATCCCTGACTCAGTGTACCCATCTGACAGAGCTCTGCACACAGTCCCTCTGAGCACGGCTGGGTGTTGGGTGTCACATGCTAATTACTATTTTAAATAAATTGTATTTCTCCCCTGCCACCAGGCAGCACAGTTCTCTCCCTGACATGGAAAGCTGGGATATTTCAAACCCAGAGCAACAACTATTCACTTTTGCTTGGAAGGCCACTGTTTGCTGGCTTTGGAGGGCGTCCTTGGGACCTCCCTCCATCCAACTGGCTGATGAGCTTGGTGGTGAGGAGAAACTCAGGGTCCCTGCTGCCCTGGTAAGAAGCCGGTATGAGGTTGACTCGGTGTCAGCTTGACTGGGTGGGACAGGCCTGGGGCTGGCAATGCTTTAATGTGTTACCTGGGCTTCGGGAGGCATCTGGCCCAATGCTCTTCTAATGAAAGGGACCCCAGGAGGTCGGCATTTGATCAGAAAGACTGGCTGCGCCAGCGTGGGTTGGGGCATTTCTGGAAGAGACTAGTGTGAGTTGGTGAATGAGAAGATCCCTCCGTAACATGGGTAGGCGCCATCTGCGGAGCTGAAGGCCAGGCAACAAGAAGGTGGAGACGGGTGGGTTCTTGCTCTCTCTTCTCCCACCTATGGATGCTGGAACTTCTGGTTCTCTGGCTTTTGGACTCTGGGAGTCTCACCAGTGTCCCTGAGCTCTCAGGCCTCCAGTGCCACTCGGGGAGTTCCATCATCTGCTCCCCTGGTTTTGAGGTCCTGAGTTGCAAGGACTGTGCCCCAGGTCTCCCTAGGTCTCCAGCCTGCATTACACCCCCTGTGGGACTCCTCAGCTCCATCAAGCACGCCAGGTGCCCTGATGCACCCTCCTCCTCTCTACTTACCCCTTTGGTTCTCTGGAGAACCCTGATTGATAGCACACCAGGGAAGCTTCCTTGTTTCCACGTCCACATCCTAAGCTGCTCATGGGCCATGAGAATGGCTAACACTGGTGACTTACTGTGCTCACTTGCTTGTTTTTAAAGGGTCCGTCAACCACCCACATAGTCTTAGGCCACATTCTGCCTGGTCCCCACCTGGGAAGGGCCGGGTCACTCTCCTCCAGTCTCCTAACACTCCCTTCAGAGCCCAGCGGTAGTGGTAGTCTGCACACCAATCCCACCTGGACCACAGCGCGGCACCTCGGGTGGGCTGGGAATTGTTGGAAGATGCATTCCAACTCCACAAGGTTACATTAAGCTTCTGATTCAGTTAGTTAAGATAATAACCCCAGCAGGGCTGGGGTTGTGGCAGAGTGTTTACCTAGCATGTGTGAGGCACAGGTTTGATCCTCAGCACCACATATAAATAAACAAACAAAATATTGTGTCCATCTACAACTAAAAAACATTTCAAAAATTTACAAAAAGATAAAATATAATAAAAACTCTCACAGAGCAGGGCAGGGCTCCTCTCTCCAGCCTGCCAGCAGTGGGAAGGTCGGCTTGCTGCGCTGCTTGGTGGGTAACACACTTCTCATGTGGTCCTTTTTTTAAAGTTGTAGATGGACACAATACCTTTATTTATCTTTATGTGGAGCTGAGAATGGACCCAGTGCCTCACGCGTGCCAGGCAAGTGTTCTGCCCCTGAGCGACAGCCTTTAGGAAAGGTTGAGCAGGGGTGAAAGGGCCCTACTCCTCAATAGTTTACCTACTCCTAAAATAGACACAGGAAATCTGGCATCTGAGGCAAAAAGGAACATAAGGTGAAGTCATTTAAATTTTTTAAAGATGAAATAGATCTAATAATATGAGAATATCACAGTTGGCAAAAAAAAAAAAAAAAAAAAAAAAAAAAATCAGAGCTGCACTCTCCAGGAGTTCCCTGCCTCCAGCAGGGAAGTGCACACCAGGGAGCCCCGTAGACCCCAGGGATGGTCCTTGCCCCTGCTCTGCCTCCCAGACTGGGGGCCCCGTTGCCATTCCTAAGAACATTCAGTGCCCAAGTGCTCCTGAGCAACTGCGTCTGGGTTGTGAGTTCTGTGAACTCAGGTCCCCACAGCTGAGCAGTTATCTGTTCATCTTTGTCACAGCATTTGCTCACTGACCTGCCCATTGCTGAGGTCACACGTCATGTTTCCTCTCTGGGCACTGGATGTGGAGGACCTCGTAAGTGCCTAGCATTTACATGTTCAATAAATCTTCATTTGACAAATGAATGAATAAGGACTATTCCACTAATTCAAAATGGATGGCACAGCTCCAACAGGTGCCTGTGAGGTCAGGTGGGTGACAGCTAGAGGCACACGGCTCCCTGAGGCCTCGGGATTTAAAATGAAGGTAGAACTGTCTAAGGCACTGTCTAAGTTTGAGGATGTTAATGATCGGGTCTGTAAAGATCATGTGGACATAGAGTGGACTGGTACAAACGGGTGGGCCACACTAGGAAGGAAAAGCCACCGCTCTCCCCACACACATAACGCAGCTTCCACCAAAGCGGGCCATGGAGTATGCAGGACCTCATGACTCAACTGGACGTGGAGCCCACGGGGAGGGGAGCTTCAGCTCTCTGGGCATGTTGTCATATAAAATGAAATATCTGGAGACAAGCTGAAGGAGATGGCATTCAATTTTAAAGACTGAAGAATCTATACACACCATGACACCAGTCTGGGAACCGGAGACATGGTTCCTCTGTGAAGTGAGATCTGGCCTGGGCTAAAGACGTTGCACAGAACCAGCTTAGAGAGGTATCAGAGACTTGCAGAGTTGAGACGACCAAGGTCACTGTGTTAAAATTAAAACCAAAGGCTCAGAGATGGAGTGTTGGAAACTCTCAGGTTTGAGAGTCAGGAAGAAGAAATGAAATAAGGAAAATCTGAGGTCTTAGGAAGTCTGTGGAAAAAACTTCAAAGAAGTCCTTGATCTGCTGCCAAGAAGTCATATAAAGAGTGATGGCCTTGTTTGGTCACAGTAGAAACTAAAATGACCTTGTGGGCCATCTTGGGAGTGGTATAAGACAGACAAAGCCACAGTAAGGCAGAACACGGGAAGTGAGGAAGTGGAGGCAGGTAAAGGTGGTAACTCCAGGAGCTTCCTCTAACGGGGAGGAGCAGCTGGCTGCTGTGCCTGGCGAGAACAACTCCTCCTGCAGCTTTCAGGAGAGACCCGGCAGGGGCTCACTCCACCTGCCTCTATATAACAGACCCAGGAAATCTGGCGTAGGGCAAAGAGGAACACAGGATAAAGTCATTTGAATTTTTAAAAGCTGAAACAGCTGTATTTATAAAAATATTGTAAGAATTTCACAGCTGGCAAAATAAACAAATAAATAAATAAATGACAGGTTTTTATACCCTTAAGGCGCCGCTCACGTGACTGCAGGGGCTTAAGTGTCGTTGGACACCAAAACCATCACCAATAGACAAGTGACCACATACGTTGCCCCAATCCACCCCTTGGGCAGGAACTGAGATGGAAAAAGGGATCCCTGGCCTCCTGCTGAGGGAAACGTGGGGCAGAGTGCACCAGCCTGCAGGAGGACACTGGGTACGAACTGCAAGGGACTGCCGCACCTTTCTGAAACTACTTTTTGACCACTAGGCAATATTAGCTCACATCTCAAGTGACCTCAGGGATGTAACTTTCCTGTTTTTGCTTTTACCTAACCAATACTATCAGGACAGAAGACTATTGAGGGATAACTAAAAAAATCTGGAAAAGTAACCAATGTTTTGAATCAATTTTCATTTAAATATCAACTGCTAGTTATGGAAATCTGAGAAAAAACCCATAATATTCATATTTGAAGCAGAGCTGTCCTAAGACAATGCACACAAAGCAACATAGTCTATTTAATAAAAATATTTAATGCTGCCAAAAAGTATAAAAATACAGTAGGAATGGCAGTACAATACAAAGTAGTCTCTCCTAATTTATTTCTTTTACATCTTTCTACATTTCATACACGCATTAAAAACATGTAGCAATACATCAGATTAAAGGGTCTGCCAAGTCTTCTGCTGGTGGGTGCTCTTCATTCCCTGGGTGTAAAGTTTACTTTGTAAACAGACAACCGTGAGGCCGTCTACAGGCTTAGCAAGCCTCACTTAGTTTCCGGAGTGGGCTTCAGGTCTTGCTTTGCACATCAATGGTTCAAAATTTATAGCTGCAGAATATTCTCAAGTCATGAATATTTAGGTGTCTGTCAATCTTGGCCTAAAACATAAAATAAGAAGTCATCTATTCAATTCATATTTACCAAACACACAGACGTACATAGATACACACAAACACAACAGGACTAACGATGAACTAAAAGTAGGGCACCGAAAACCATTCCAACGTGTCACAGTCAACCACACCAAATGCTTCGCTATCATCTTGGTAAAACTGCAGTGCTTGATTTTCATGTACAATCAGTGGTGTAAGACAGACGCAGGTAAAGCACCATGACTCATCTTCTTCTTCAAGAATTACTAACTTCAAATTTTTCAGGTCATCCAGTTTTACACAAGAAATGACCTCTATGTAAGATACTGACAGACAGACAGATTTTTTAAAAAAAGTAGCCACAGGAATTTAGCAAGACTACATGGTATGTGCTGACTTACCAACACTTTGGAATTCAATGCCAAAGTCTAATCCAATTTGGACCTCCACTGTGTAAGACTGCTAAAAATACTATTGATACAATGTTTGGACACAAAGTTGCCATGTGTCTTTAAATCACCCATGTTAGCAGCTGCATTTTGTCCTGAGGGACAACACTAAGGATCTACACTACATGACTGAAGTGAGAGGAAACTGAGGTTACCATCAACATGAAAGAAAACAGACATAAAATAATTGTTAGGCTTACTGTACCTTAATGCCAAGGGGTGAAAATGAGTTTAAACAAGCAATGGAAGGAACGGCTATGGACAAGGGCAGCAGGATTTTTGAAGTTCCTGCACAATTATTTGCAAACAGACAAACTGACAGGTTTTTATACCCTTAAGGCGCCGCTCATGTGACTGCAGGGGCAGGGTCTCTGGACACCAAAACCATCACCAATAGACAAGTGACCACATACGTTGCACCAATCCATTGCCATTCTCCCCAGCTCCTCTTTACCACAGAGCCCCAAACCTAAATATGTCAGTCCTGTGGCTCCGCATGGGCAGGCAGGAAACACAAGCCAGGTCCACACCAGTTAGCCAGAACGTCTACTCAAAAGCCCCGAGTTCTGGGGACCAGACTTCTTCCAGCTCCCAGCCCCCTCTGCAGAACAGCACCCTGCACCGGGCACCAATGGAGCCGTTTTTTCATCGGAACTTCCCACCAACATGAACATCAAGTCATCAAGAAATCATTCTTAGTAGAATCTGAGTCACAAAAACTATGGGTGCTCGTTACAGAGGTCTCCAGCACCTGAACCAAGGGGGCTGACGGAAGGCAGAGAACCGTTTACAATTCTGATGCAAAATGTGCACCTTCCATGCACTCAGAAGACTGCTCGGAAAGGAACTTAATTCAATAACAGTGAATGAAAGAAGGGTTTGATTTAGAGAATATTCCAATGTTCCAAGAATACTTCTGATTTTCAGTGGTAGTACAAATTATTTCACAACTTTCTCCCTCCACTTAAAAAAAAAAAAATCAGAGGAATATTTTGGCTTTTAACAGCTAAGAGTCTTTCATTTTCTCACTTAAATATTTGGTCCAAATACTCCACATAAACACAGTCGTGACTTAAGAGGAAAGGCCTGAGGCGTGGAGTCATCGGGCCTCCACGGTTGGAGACTGCACCTCAGTTCTATCAGGTACTGGCTGTGCAGTCTGGGGCAAGTTATTTACACTTTGATTCAATTTTCTTACCCAAAACCAGAGGTAATGCCATCTAGTTAGATGAAGGGTCATGGAGGTTAAATCCAGATTGTACATTTAAACTGGTTGGCAAAACTGTAGATGGTGAATGGCTACAATTTCAGATTAAAGACATATTTACCAAGGATAATTTTTTTTTTTTTTTTTTTGGTACTGGGGACTGAACTCAGGGGTACTCGATCACTGAGCCACATCCCCAGTGATTTTGTATTTTATTTAGAGACAGGGTCTCACTGAGTTGTTAGCACCCATCATTGCTGAGGCTGGCTTTGAACTCGCGATCCTCCTGTCTCAGCCTCCCGAGCTGCTGGGATTACAGGTGTGTGCCACAGTGCCCAGCTGAATGATTTCTTATAACAACCTAAAAGATGGGATTTTTAAAAATTTAATTATTATTTCTAAATATTTTTCAAACAAGATGAAACCACTGACGAGGGTAACTGTTTTAAAGGACTATTTATACGTAAGACTGAAAAGACAAATAGGCTTCATTTTCAGAAATTCTGGTATGTTTGCTTGGACCAATTTTTGCTATTTTGTTTAATGAGGCGAAAGGTAAAACAGGTTCTGACAAGCTGAGTGGTGTGGGTTGCGCTGGGTCTTCTCTGCAGAAGTAGCCTTGGCTGGCGTGGGCAACTCGGGGTGTGGGGCAGGACCTTCTGTCCTGACATGCTGAGGTATCAGGAGCCAAACTGCTCCAGGAGTCATTTCTGCCATTAGATATTCACACCAAGAGTCTACTGCCTTGAGTTAGTAGACTCAGTTGCTGATCACAACCTCTCAGGTGAGCCAGGGCTGCCTTAAAGGCCACTTACCCAAATTCCTCTCCTGAATGTGCCAGACATAGTGTTTATTAGTTATTTAAAGCATCAACGGCATCATGGTCTGAAAAGTCTATGTCAAGTCAGAGCAGCAACGAAAAATAACTTGATGCCTCTTAAAGAGTCTATACAGGAAAAACCACCACCACCATCACCACCACCTCCAACACCTCATGCAATTCTCCTCGCCGAAGGCCAAAACAAGCTAAGCAGCACACCAGCCAGGGTCAGAGCCGACTCTGCAGGCAACATCCTCACTCAACACTGTAATCCCCATATTCCATTTTTAACCAGAAAAACAGAAAGGGCTCAAAGACAGAACTTCTCATTTTCCCAATGGACTGCCCAGAGTCAGGGTTCTCTGAGTGTTTTCACTGCCAGCTCCCAAACTCTCAGACCACGCAGAAGCTTCCACATCAGCCCCTGCTGACACTGGCAAGGGCTCCGGGCCAGGAGCACAGCACGGGAGGAAAGGATCGGCACTGACAGTGGGTCTTTCCAGAGCGCAGGAGCCAAAGGAGACGGCCGCTTGTTTCTGTGGAGAGTGCAGACAGGAAAGCACCGTGCAGAGCAGCCTGCTGCTCTCCTGGGGCAACGTGAAGGTGCCAGACAGTCAGAAAACTCCTGCTGCAGGGGAGAGAGAACCACACTCATACCACTTTCTTGGATCTGGATGAACAATGAAATGGCAATGTTAGGACAGGCAGCAGAATAGAGCCCACATGAGCGCGCTGTTCGTGCACTTCCTGGGCAGAGCAGGAAGGAAGAGCCCCCCCCCCCCCCCCCCCCCCCCCCCCCCCCCCCTCCACAGCAGGGACGGCTGGGACTGCGAGTGCCAACGCTGCTGGGAGGCTCGGGCACCACTGTCCCATGAACACCACTTGGAGAATAGGTACAAGGACAAACAGAATCCAAGCCAAATAACAGAACTGGAGGGAAGGATGAATGAACAGGTCAGCTACAGAGTAACCATCCAGACAGTGAGAAGGCCTTTATTTCACTTCATGAGATGATAACATTTGCCTCTATCACCTACATAAGTCACAGCCAAATAAGAGCTTCTTAAAAGTGAGAGAGCCTTTATTAGCTGCTGTGTATGAATGAGAGTGCAGAGTAGACATTTCTATTGACACCTGGTTCCAGAGTGTGGAAAGAGGCACCCAGTCCAGTCAATGAAGGATGACCTCAGCCGTCCTTCCTTCCCTACCAAGATGCCACAGACTGGGGGGGGCTACACCCAGTTACATAGTCCTCACTCACTCAGAACCCCCGTGGGGACCTGCTAGAAGAAAATATAAACCAGTGTTTAGCAAGGGCTTGAAATCTTGCCTGAACACAGACAGAATGAATTACATACTGAATGGTATTCAGATTAAAACATTTAAAATTATTTTTAAAGATATGTATCTGAAAGAAAAAATCAAAGCAGATTAGATTTTTTGAATCTGTACAATAATAAGGCAGGCAAATTTGGAAATGCAGGCACTCATTAAAAGGTCAGTAAAAGTATTTTTAATACCATCAGGTTCTGATCTCTATATCAAATCCAGTTAGTAACAGTTTTCTGAGCATTTTATTGTTCAGCTTGGAGACAGCATCTCTCTTAAGTCATTCCAACTTCAGATCCTCCTGTCCCTGCCTCCCAAGCTGCCGGGGTCACGGGCACCACATGATGAACATGTCCAGCTGGGCAGACACGTTAAGAAATGAGTTGCAGTCTAAGAATGATCTGATTCTAAAATATACCAGAGAGAGACTTTTCAATGATAGCACCGCAAAAGAAATGAAGAGATGTCAAGTCTCAGGCTTCTTGGGACCTAACACCACCACGACTGACTCCCAGCACTGTGTGAGCACCATCCCTGAAAGGCACAGTGCCAGGTGGGCACACAGAGGGACCGTGCATGCCATCAACTGAGCCCTACGTGTTTCCGAGTCACCATCAATTCCAGCTCATGCAAGTTGAAGGGACAGGCACGTGTGCACCCAAGGCAACTCACTTGCCACCTTTCCTCTGGCAGCTGCTAGGCAGAGCTCTTTAACAGAAAATGACTAATAGTTTCTCGACATCCTTTCACTTTTATTGTTTATCTCTTGGCAGAAATATTAAAACACTGAGAAATGGACCCAAAAGATAAAGGACTTGGCAAATACATATCATCTCTGTTAAACATGAGAAATGGCTTCACTTTGTGCTGAAGCTCTGTATGCACTTTTGTTACTTTAAACTGCAAAAAGCGGGCATTATGTTTATCTTATATATAAATTAAACATGGAGAATGTTTAAGGAACAATGTAACACAACACGTGGCTACACCTGGAAAGGAGTGTGTAACCAGCTAGCACCGCCATGAAGCAAAGTCTGTACCAGCTCAGAGTAGACGTGGAGGTGAACTAAGTGCTCTTTCCTGAGAATAAGAGACCTTCTTTTTTTGTGTTTGTTTTTGATACTGGGGATTGAACTCAGGGGCACTTAAGCACTGAGCCACATCCTTATCCCTTTATTGTATTTTATTTAGAGACAGGGTCTCACTGAGTTGCTTAGGACCTCACTAAGTTGCTGAGGCTGGCTTTGAACTTGCAATCCTCCTGCCTCAGCATCCCGAGCTGCTGGGATTACAGGCATGTATCACTGTGCTCGGCTATAAGTGACTTAAAATCTGTTGAAGTCACAAATATTCTGGAGACCTATGCATACACAAAATCCTTTTCAAGATACAGAACCCATCAGGAACTGCTTTCTTCTGGTGCTAATGGAGAGGGCAGGAGCCACATCTTTGTCCATGTTTGACTTGCACAGCTCATTTAACAAAGGGCTGGGGTAATGACCATGGCACTGCCACCTACTGCCATATATTTTAGTAATTAGCATTTGGCACACACAAAATGTATCAGCACTGGTAAAACCACACCCCTGTTTAAAGACTCCACCATCCACCTCACCCTCAGGGATCTGCTGGGAGGGAAGAGCCTGGCCCTGAAGTTCACAAAGTGTTCACTACACTGAATTTGATTTTAAAACACACTGTACCATGTACCATTCAGAAGGACAAAAAGCAGACATAACGCTAGGCTGAAATGCTGAATCCACGAAGCACGTTCATCCTGAGTAAGGCTGGGTACAGCCTTATCAGTATTTCTTTCCTATAAGGAGTCTTTACCTTGTTGTTAAAATCAAGGAAACAAACTAACTGGAAATGGAATGATGCCTGCCCATGCTGGCTTGCAGACCAATGGACTGTACTTTAGCAAAGATAAAACAATGCAAATTAGAAAGAAGGATTTTAAACCAAAACCACCTAAAGCATTAGCGTCTTGATGCCTAAACACAGGTTTAGTTCAGACAGACAGACAGAGATGTCCCTCTTACTCCTCTCCGCTTCAGGGTCAAGGACACAGTGATACTGAGTCAGGACATGGGCACACGTTACATCAATCTTACTTAATATGTAGTACCACCTATGTCCTGCACAGTCAGCACACTCAGTAAGGCTACGCAAGTCAATCCCAAACATCACCTACACCCATGGTTTTCAAACTGCCTTTACATGATAACTGTCCCCCTTGAAATGATTAAGCCTTGTGCCAAAACCTTACATGGTATATAAAAGATAAAGAAGAGATGCTGAGGCTGACAGTCAACCTCTTGGTGACCCTCTTGAAAATCCAATGAGCAGAGTTTGGAAACCACTCAAATAATATGTACTATCTATGCTGCCTGGCAATTAATTTATATCAACTATTTAGAGTTTAAGTTAAACAAGTCAAACACTGATTGGTGTATTGGAACCTGAAGAAAACTAGCACTAGGGTGAGTACTGAAGTCTAAAAATATTCACTAAGAAGTTAAAGGACAAGGGAAGGTTTGTACATCACCTCACTATTTGCTGCAGTGGAAAGAACGTGAAAAAATTTTGCTTCAAAACTTCAGTCTGTGAACTGAAATCACAGATCACCAGTGTTGCTGCTTTTAGTTTCTAAATCATGATTTACCCCAATTATAAATTAGGATAATTACACTGAGTTTTTGTGGAAAATGTACAATGTTAGTCATGGGCTTTACAGAGACCGATTTCTGTACACAGTCTTGGCAGCTATTACCTAAGTGTCCCAGCAAGGATTTCAAAGATATTTTGCAGAAAAATTTTGTTTTTGTTTTTCTTTTTAAAATAGAGAAAACTGTAAAATATAAATGAAATGCAAATATGTAGTAGAAAACTGCTTATCCTGATTTGTAACTACTCATATCAAACTTCTCTTTAGGAAAAGGGAAAATGTATCCAGTACAATTGAAGCAACATACAATTTATTATTATTATTTTTAATGGTAACAGATTTTCAAATTGAGTTTTTAAAAAGTACATTTAACTACAAAAGTAAGATTAAATAGGTACTTATAAAATATATTTACCCTGAAATGGTTAAGAATATAAAGTGTTGATGCCCATGTCAATAATACATTATACATTACACACATTAAAGGTCATTTTCTTTCCATTAATAATGTAATAAAACCACAATATTTATTGCTTGTATCAAGTGCAGGTTAAAATCCAGATAGCCTTCAAATTCAAATCCTTGTGATAAAGGATTTCTCAATGTTGGTCGGGTGAAATTACGTGTCACACTTGTGAATACAGGTGCAGAATGTATCGATTTTTAACACGCACGAACGTCTTTATTTTAGACAGCCGCTTACAGTTTAGGTTTCAGAGGCACCTGCAGTGAAGAGTCCTGAGATGCTGGGCTGGGGTTAAGTCTCACTGATCTGGCTGATGTCTATTCTACTGCACCGTTTTTGGGGTAGGAGGCGTTTGCTGCTAAAAGACAGACCCTTGTGATTAATGCAGCAACGTCAGTACTAGTGCAGAAGCTTGCTGGGCAAAACTGTTTATTTATAGGACATTTTGCTGAAAAAACAGAGTCCAGCCAACCAAAGCGCCAACCAAAATGACTGACACAAACCCCATCTTAGTGAGCACAGGCTGCCAACATAACCACCTTTTTCTTTTTCGTTCAGTCTCATTCAGCCTCTGTTTCATCTGCTGCACCTTCTGAGCAGTGGTGGCTTTTCTGTCCTCTCGAATACGTCTCCGTAGAATACTGTGGATTAGAAATAATAATGATAAAAAGAAGGTACACATGGCAGAACAAGATCACTCTGGTATAAAGGACCCGGACACTGACAAGACCACACACATCCACATGTTCTTCAAGTCCTTCAATCACTGCAATAAACAAGGGGAAGCCCCAGTACTCCAAATGGTCCAGAGATGTGCTCTGATAACTCAGCAATCGCTTCTGGTACAGTTTTATATTAATGTATACTTTTAACAGGACCTGAAAATAAGCAAGGCTCTTTTTCAAACTGTGAACTGGTGCCCATCAGTTTTCGTTCCCTCCTTTTTTTTTTTTGGCAGGGAGCGGGGGGAGGTTCTAGGGCGTTGAACTCAGGGGCACTCGACCACTGAGCCACATCCCCAGTCTTATTTTGTATCTGATTTAAAGACAGGGTCTCACTGAGTTGTTAGTGCCTCCCCGTTGCTCAGGCTGGCTTTGAACTTGTGATCTTCCTGTCTCAGCCTCCCGGCAGCTAGGATTACAGGTGTAGCCTCTACGTACAACTCCTTCTTTCTCTGCCAGCCAGTCTGCAGATGCAGGAATGGGAAAACAAGGAGGTGCTCCGGCACCTGGTCCTCTGTACCAGCATTTGATGTTTCAAGGCCCTTGATCAGTGCCATCTGTTAAAAATTTCCATGGATACTCTACTGTGACAGGGCCTACTTTTCTTTTCTTTTTATTTATTTTTGGTACTGGGGGTTAAGCTCAGGGGCACTGAGCCACAACCCCAGCCCTATTCTGTATTTTATTTAGAGACAGGGTCTCACTGAGTTGTTAGTGCCTTGCCATTGCTAAGGGTGGCTTTGAACTTGCTATCCTCCTGCCTCAGCCTCCCCAGTCACTGGGATTACAGGCGTGTGCCACCACGCCCAACAAGTGGGCCTACTTTTAAATTTATCCTTACACTTTTCTAGCTCCTGTTTTCCTATTCAGTACTGGTCAGCATAAGCTTCCTGACTCCCAAGATACTCAGACTCAGCACTACATAAAGAATGGCCAATGGCAAAACATCAATTACTACTTCTTCCCTTTAAAAATCTCTCACAAAACTCATCTGCTCTTTTTGCTTATTGTCTGTGATATGGCAAAAGCCTAACCAGTTTCCCAGTAATTTTTCTAAAGTAGTTCTGAGCATGCAGTTTAATTTTTAAAAAGTGACTTCCTCTTCAATGTCTACTACATGAAGACACAACTTTTCTTCCTGGCCAAAATGTTTAATCTGAATCAAATCATGAGCAACAATGAGAAACATAGACTGTGGAACATTTTAAAAGACAATTGGTCAAGAGAGGGGAAAAAGAAATGGAGAACAGTTCCAAATTAAAGGAGAAACTTTAAAAACCACATCAATCAAATATAATCAAATGCATGACCCTTGATTAGATCCTGAATTACTTTTTAGAATAGTTCTAGAAATTGGGATAATCATAAAAATGTTCTAAAATTATGTTATGGTCTTAGCCACAAAACTCTGTAAATATATTAACATCCACTGAATTCTATACTTTAAATAACAGGAATAGAGGGAAGGGAGGAAGATGGGAATGGGAAAGACAATGGAATGAATGGGACATCACTCTCCTATACATGACCAGTGTAACTCCACATCATGTACAATCACAAGAATGGAAGTTACACTCCATGCATATATGATATGTCAAAATACAATCTACTGTCATGTATATCTCTAAAAAAGAATAAATAAAGAGAAAAGGAAACCCAAAACACAAAAAAGAATCTTATTTTATCATGATACATTCTCTGATATGCTGGAACCTGCAGATGTTGCTGACCGACGTGTCCAGGCAAAATCAGCACAAACAGCCTTCAGCTCTGCACTACTTTTCATGCCCAAACACCGCCCCCCACCATCTTGTTCTTCAGATTTGTTTCCCACAAAGACAGAATCTTCCCTTTTATTTTGGTCCTCTCGTTTCTATTCTATTCTTCAACCCTTCCTCTTCTCATCCCCTGAAACCCTTGTGTATTTATGGTATTTAATTTATAGTAAATAATTGACAATTTGCTAATAATTTGCTAATTTGGGTACTTGCTTCTCATATTAGTAACTGAGGACTATATTTTGCTTACCTTTAATTCCTATAGTTCTTCTGCACATCTTTTTCATTTTCACTTATTAAGTAAACAGGCCCCCCTGGCTGTCTGAATTCCATCTGAATATTTACTTGCAAAAATTATTACTGAGAATACTCTCTGAATTGAAAACTCGTAGACAAATGCACATACTGCTAGTAAAAATATTCAAGTTGCGTTCAAATGCAGGAAATACATTTATAAAAGATGTAATGAACCCATTAAGTGATATGATTATATAATTAGTGCTTTACATCTGATATGAGTTTAAAAGGGCTGCCCAGAGGAGACCATGTGGAAAGCCTTGCAGTTGCACACAGTGGGCTTCTGCCAACACATGCCCTGGCAGGCACATTCCACACTACGCACACTCTCAGGAGAGGGTCCAAATGACTGAACTTTTCAAATACCCCAATTATTTATTCTCATTTGCAGAACACTGACTTTCAAATTTAAGACTGCGAGACATAGTAAGAAGCATCTTACTATCACAATGGAGTAACCACACATTTGTGTCTATATGTTATTATCATTACACATTATATTATTATAATATATATTATTACTATATCATTAGTATATTAATTATATAATTAAATATATAATATTAACATATAATTAAATTATAATATTATAATTATAGGTGTTTATATTTATATTCAATACATACATATATAAAAGTAGGTTAAAATAAACTATTTGTGATACTCAGATAATTTTTTTTTGGGTAGTTGTAGATAGATAGTATGCCTTTATTTTATTTGTGTATTTTTCTATGTGGTGCCAAGGATTGAACCTAGTGCCTCCCACGTGAAAGGCAAGCACTCTGCTGCTGAGCTATAGCCCCAGCCTGGATAATGTCTTTTTTACTCTTATATTTTCTTCTTTAAGAAATACTTTTTAGGGCTGTGGTTGTGGCTCAGTGGCACAGCGCTTGCCTAGCACATGTGAGGCACTAGACTCAATCCTCAGAACCACATAAAAATAAATAAATATAATAAAGGTATCATTTCCATCTAGAACTAAAAATATTTAAAACAAAAGAAAAAGAAATGCTTTTTAAACCAAGTAAACTAAACTTCCAATTTGAAAAGCACTGCTGTAGAGGATATTCAATAATGAAATGGAACAAAAATAGTATTATGGGCTGGGGATATGGCTCAAGCGGTAGCGCGCTCGTCTGGCATGCATGCGGCCCGGGTTCAATCCTCAGCACCACATACAAACAAAAGATGTTGTGTTCGCCGAGAACTAAAAAATAAATATTAAAAATAAATTCTCTCTCTCTCCCTCTCTCTTTCTCTCTCTCCTTAAAAAAAAATATTAAAATAGTATTATATTCTAGTCTTTCAGAAGCTCCAATTTATTTAATATGATTTTTACTTTTTTAAAAAAATATATATTTTTTAATTGTAGATGGATACAATATCTTTATTTCATTTTTATTTGGTCCTGAGGATTAAACCCAGTGCCTCATGTGTGCTAGGTGAGCGGTCTACCACTGAGCCACATCTCCAGCCCCTCATTTTTACTTTATTAGGATCTCTAATATAAAGCTATCAGTATTAATATCTATTGGGTCTGAGCAATAACTTACTAATCTCATCTACCTCAGAGGAAGGAAAAAATAAAGATGAAAACAACATGAACAAGTATACATATGCGCCCACAGCCCCCTTTAAAAGCACGTTTTGTAACAGCTCTGTAATTCCGGAGTGATTTTGCTAATCTCTGTGCCATGAGACTCAGACATGGGAAGGTTAACTCACTGGACAGGGACTATGGCTGGCCTGTGTCTTTAAAACCAAGACAACACTCCAAAATTACAAAGGATCCCAATCCAGTCACCAAGCTCATTTTTCCTAATTCTGCACATAATATTTAATCAAGGGGTGGGTGGCGGCAACAAGTATGCTTGTGACAATCTTATTATGAAAAAAATATTGAAAAAGATAACAGCAATTTAAAACAATATTACTTTGTGGTTTTGGGGATGCTGCTCAGTGGCAGAGTGTTTGCCTGACAAGTGAGGCACCCCAAGAACCTACACATGCACACACGCACACCGTACACTTCCTCATTAAAAGTTCTAAATTTAAGGTGAAAAAAATATACTTGTACAAATAACTTCATGCTTTCACTAGTCATCTTAAAACTACTAAAACCATTATAAGGAATAATATATCATAATTAACGATTCAAAAATAAACTATTCAAGTCTAAAAACCCATGACTATATAGTGAAATGTTAGTTTTTATAAATTTTAAGGCATGTAATCTTCTTTTCTGTTGCTGAGGATTGAGCCTAGGGCCATGCACACGCTAGGAAGAATGTTCTACCACTAAGCTATACCCCCAGGCCCATATCAGGAAAAGAGAAAAGTGAAGCTATAATGTGTAGTTGGCCTTGACTATTTTCATTGGTACATTCCAAAATCCTGATCTAACAAAATGACTGTAACATAAAAATTCTCAAAGTAAAAAGTGTATTTCACAAAAAAAAGAAAAGGAAAAAAATGTCATTTGGAGACAGAAGAAGAAAAAGAGTTCATTCACTTTGCTAGATGGCTCATAATCTTAGGATACCAGTTTCCTAATGTGGGTGCGAGCCTTGGACATGTAATTTGTTAATGTTAAACGTTCATATTAATTTAAAACCCAGAAAGTTTCAAATAATGTAATTTTTGGGAAAAAGACTTATCTTCCTCTAACAATGGAATTTTTAAAAAATATTTTAAGATCTTATTAAAGGCATATTGGGTATTTTTTCTTAAATATTATTTTGGTTGTAAGTAGACACAGTATCTTAATTTATTTATATGTGGTGCTGAGGATTGAACCCAGGGCCCCACATGTGTGAGACAGGCACTCACTCTGCCACTGAGCTACAGCCCCAGCCTGTTTTTTGTTTTTTTTCTTTTGGTACCAAGGATTGAATTCAGGAGCACTCCACTGAGCCATATCCCCAGCCCTATTCTATATTTATTTAGAGACAGAGTCTCACTGAGTTGCTTAATGCCTTGCTTTTTGCTGGGGCTGATTTTGAACTCATGATCCTCCTGTTTCAGTCTCCGGAGCTGTTGGGATCACAGGCATGCAACACCACGCCCGCCTTTTTGTATTTTTATTAGAGACAAGGTCTTGCTGAGTTGCTTAGGGTCTTGCTCAGCCTCCAGAGCTGCTGAGATTACAGGTATGCACCACCAAGTGTGGCTAAAGGCATATTGTTAATTGCATTATAACTAATACTAAAAGTGATTGCAAACAGCAGTTATTAATACCATTTATTTTCTGTACCATACTGTTCATTTTCCCACCTAATTATATTAACTTTTCTACTCAACTAGTGTTGTTTCTTCAACTGGTTTCTAAGTATAGACTTTTTGTAATGGGATTCCGAAAACCCCTTAGGTAACAAACAAATGAGCAACTACCCTCATTTAATAAATGAAGGCTTGCATGACTCTGAGCCCCCTGAGTTAACTGAAGCATACCTGCTGCTGTTTTCCTCTGCTGTGTCCTGCACTTTAGAGGAGAGCACTGTGCATCGGTCACTGGTTGGTTTCTCTTCTTCTGGACCTATTCTGCTCCCATTGTACTTTCCAGTCATTATTTTGTTTGGTGAATGGTCAAAAGCAGGAGATAAGTCTTCTTTAGAAAGTTCTTTCCACCGTTTCTATGTAGGGAAGAGAAATGAAAAACAAATGTGAACACTAAAAATGTAGTTTTCCTTAAATAAAAAGCATCTACAGATACACCGAGTGCAGTGGTGCACACCTGTGATCCCAGCAGCTGGGGAGGCTGAGGCAGGAGGATCCCAAGTTCTGAAACTCAGCAAGGCCCTAAGCAACTCAGTGAGACCCTGTCTCTAAATAAAATATAAAAAAAGCCGGGGAGATGGCTCAATGATTAAGCGCCTCTGGGTTCAATCATCAGTAGCAAAAATAAAAAAGAAAAATTTTACAAATTGAAATCAAGTTATGAAAACCCTGTGATGCTGACAGATGGCATTCTACCAAATCACAACTTTACGCTTGTGTTAAGTTTAAAAACTTCAGTCAATAAAAGCATTTAACACTTATTTTTATGTGCATTATATGAAGTTGAATACAATTATCTTCATAAAACCTAGTGAATTTTATCTACTGGAGACAAACTATACAAGGATCTCACTAAAGTATTAGTTATAGTAAGACAGTTTTAGCTAAAATTCAATATTGCTTGACTCTTCATCATTCCCAATCCGCAGATATTCAACAGTGGCATAGTGACCAAGATGACCTGTAAATGTGATCTGATTCCTTCTTGCTTCTTGCCACTGACCAGTCTAGGTGAGAAACAACAACGAGACTTCCAAACAGGTCCTCGTGATGCCAAAGGACTTTAATTTGGTTGTCCTTACCAGCTACACGGGCTGCTCCAAACAGCTAACCCATAACCCACCACTGGGCTAGCGAAACATCCTCTAGCACACCTGGACATCAGATTTGATGACAAAGAGCAGGATTCAGCCCAAGGCGAAGAGAGCTTTCAGTTTCTTCCTTTTTGAAAGACGATGTCCTCACCTACCTTAGGAGTATACTATGGTGATAAATGAGATGGTGGGCGAAGAGCCTAGTATCTCACCCCACAAAGGTTAAGTTTCCTGCACCCTCTCTGCCCCATTCCTAGGAACAAAGCTGGAGGTGGAAGCACAAGGCATATCTGGCTCCTGGAGTTGAAAGCAGTGGCAGATAGTACAGGCCAAAGAAGGAATGACCTCGGCACTGGGACCATGGTCTCTTGAGCCCTGCATGGGCTGCAAATATACCACCACCTGTCCACTGCCAACAGCAACAATGGCAGAAGCTAACACTAGTGGGAGCCAATGGTTCTCATTAAGACTGACTTTGACACTGGCCCCAAACAACTGATGTGGACAGGGAAAACCCCCTTTGAGACCTTTTCATAGAAGCACGGAGTCTTGAAACTAAACACTATTTACTGCCCAATGAATGTGATAATTTTAACACTGTAATGTACACTTGCCTGGAATTTGTGGAAAATTCATTCCCTGGAGTTACTTCTTTGTAAAACAGCACTATTTAAAGCAACCCTTCTATATTCAGATTTAAAAAAAAATTCCAGAAAATCTATTCATACACTGGATAAAGTAGTTTCTAATCTATCTTGCTTTTACCACACAACAGATAAATGAGGAAAAAAAAAAAAAAGGCATTCAGCATCTCTACCTTTCCCAGAAACATCTATTCTACTTAGCTGTATGATTCACAGATCTCTTTTTGTCTTGTAATGGTAGATTTTCAGAAACCTTGGAGAATGTGACATTCTATAATCTCCTATGTCTGGAAGACACTGCAAAGCACACCTGTTACAACTGGGTGGAGATGGAGAGTCTGAGTGGACAGAACGACCCTGAGCCCCACTGGACTCAACCACATCCAGAAGAATACTGTGCCCACAGTTAAGGAACCACCAGGCAGTGGCATGGAAGAGTGAGATGCTTTCACTTTAGAGACTGCCGGGTTCCTTCTTCCCTGGTTCCAAAATTTTGTTACTTGCCCCAATAGCATTTTTTATAGTGCCAACGCAGGGGAAAGCTGAGGTGAACAAGATACTCATCAAGCACTTGCTGAACCCACACTGCTCCATGCTACAACCCCACAGCAACCTTAGGAGACAGGCACTGTCACCGCTTCCTTTTACAGAGGACATGGGGGTAACTGAGCTTGGGTAGCTTGCCCCAGGTGAGGCAGCCAATGAACAGCAGGCTAGAATTTAACTCAGACAGTGTGGGCTGATGATGCTGTCACTCTTCACAATGATGATCTGTGTTCATGAAAAGTTCAACAACTTCAGCCAAGGGATAGCTTTAAGAAATACCCAATAAAAGGTTATGCTGTCTTCAGAATTATGCTGGTCCATTTTTAAAGTTTCCATTCTTCACAGAGATCTAGTTACAGCAACTTGGACAGCACTCAATCATGTCAATAAATGAGACAATATCAAAAAAATCAAGTCTTACAATTTCCCAGAATATGCAACAAATCCAGACTGTCAATAAGAAAGACAAACAGCAGAGGCAGGGTGAGGGGCATTTAGTGCAGAAAAACACCAACTACGTCACTCTGCCATGTACCCAAGCAGCAAACCCACTTGTGGTTGCCTTCCTGTGACATCTGAGCCAGCAGGCACCCCCATGTCACCTGCCTCAGCTGGTCACTGCCAATGGGTGACATCAAGAAACAGCACTTCACACAGGCTCTCACGCTGAAGCCTGCCTCAGCTTCCCTTTCCAATATGGCACTTGAGCCACACTCCCAGCTCACATGCTGTTGGGGACAGTGCCCCACATGCTGCTCAAACCCCAATCCCAATGATTTCTCAATAAAGAAAGTACCTCCAAGAGCAAAGTGAAGCTATTAAACTTGAAACAACTATGATTTGTTAAAAAGTTCACGGGTTCATTTAAGCAGTGCCGAATTACTAGCTAGAGATCTTACAACATCTGGCCATCCTGGATGGCCAAACTACACTATTTACTCTGGAGGTTCACGGTCACCGTCACTACTGGGAAACTGCTAATGAGTATGTGGTAATACGAGCAACTACCTTACATGTTTATCTGACCATGTACCAGGAGGCAACCAGAAACTACATGCATCTAGGTAGGTCAAGGTCACTGGAAGGGTTTTATAAATGAATACATGCTATATAATTATACATGGATTTGATTTAAGGTACAATCACTCTAGATGGGTAAAAGTAACACCTCTCCTTTGTGCCCACACGTCCTAAATCACTGCACATATATTCACATATGCAGACACCATCACAAAAAAACTATCATGAAACTATATCCATTAATGAAAGTACCACTCACACCATATAAATCTAAAGTAAGGGAAAAAAACAAAAGACTGAAGGAGATGACAGATGCCAACTTTAGGAAAAAGGACCAGAGACAAAATTTCATGGGTCAAGTACTTTTGAACAAAAAGGTTCTCTAAAAAAGAAACTAAAATCATTTGACATGTTCAATTAAAAACAAAATGGGAAGAGACTGAAAGACAAAAATATAAAGAATAAAGACAACAAATAGAAAACAGTAACAAACACAACAGATACCAGATACTATTCCAACTTTATCAGTAATTATTGAATACTAAAGGTCTAAATATACCAGTTAAAAGACAAAGTTTCTCAGAGTTAATAAAAAACAAGACTCAACTATATACAATGTATCAGAAACCTACTTTAAAAATTAAGACATACATAGCTGGGCACAGAGATGCATGCCTGTAATCCCAGTGGCTCAGGAGGCTGAGGTAGGAGGATCTCAAGTTCAAAGCCAGCCTCAGCAACTTAGTGAGGCTTTAAGCTACTTACTGAGACTCTGTCTCAAAATGAAAAGGATGTGGCTCAGTGGTTAAGCATCCCTGGGTTCAACCCCTGGTACCAAAAAAAAAAAAAAAAAAGACACACATAGATTAAAAGTAAACGAATGGAGAAAAACGTAACATGCTAACACTCATCGAAGGAAAGGAGAAACCATATGATTTCAGACAAAAAGAGGGCCAATGACAAAGGGGTCAATTCTCTAAGACATAAAAGTGTTTAACGTATGTGCACTTAACAGTAGAGCATCAAGTTCAAAATTCTATCAGAAATGGGCAGATTCAGCAGGAAGAAAATTAGTAAGCAGACAGCCCAACACAAAACCATCATCGATCATGTACCTGGCACCTAGGGAACACTTCATCCAACAAAAGTCACATGGAACATCCCCCAAGACATGCCACCGACTGGCCATAAATGCACCTTCACAAAGAGAAATCATACAATGTCTACTTTCAGACCACAGTGGAATTAAACTAAAAACCAGATAAATTTCCAAAAGTAGAGATAAAACAACATACTTCTAAAACAAAAATACAACACTGAAAATTGTAGGATGCGGGCTGGGGATGTGGCTCAAGCGGTAGCAAGCTCGCCTGGCATGTGTGCGGCCCGGGTTCGATCCTCAGCACCACATACAAACAAAGATGTTGTGTCTGCCGAAAACTAAAAAAATAAAAATTAAAAAAAAAAAAAAAAAGAAAAAGAAAATTGTAGGATGCAGCAAAAGCAGGGCTCAGAAGAAGATTTTTAGAAAAGAAGAGCTAAAAGCATTATCTAAGTTTCTACCTTAGGAAATTAGGAAAAGAACAAATTAAAATCAAAGTAAGCAGAAGGAAAAAAAAAAAGAGAGTAGAAATCAATGAAATGGAAAACAGGAAACTCAAGGGGGTGGGGTGGGGATAAGACATAAAGAAAACCAAAAGCTGATTCTTTGAAAAGATCAATGAGGGGCTGGAGTTGTAGCTCAGTGGTAGAGCGCTTGCCTAGCACGTGCTAGGTCTTGGGTTTGATCCCCAGCACTGCATAAAAATAAATAAAATAAAGGCATTGTGTCCAACTACAACTAAAAATATAAATATTTAAAAAGAAAAGAAAAGATCAATGAAATAATGAACCTCTAACCTGGCTGAGAAAAAAGAGAGAAGACACAAATGACCAATATCAGAAATACAACACTGGACATCACTGCAGATCCCAGGGATGACAGAAGAATAATACAGGAATATTACAACTCTATGCTCCTGAACTTCATAACCTAGACAAAATGATCATTTTTTTTTTAGAAAGATACTATTTGCTAAAACTCACACAAGTAACAGACAATCTGAATAGGCCTGTATTTGTTTTTAAAAATTTAATCAATAGTTAATAACCTTCGAAACAGAAAGTACCAGTTCACTGAATTCTACCAAACATTTAAGAAAGACATGCCTGCCAATTCTCTACAATCTCTATCTATCAGATGCAGGGGGGGCCCAGCATCACCCTGATACCAAAACCAAAGACATCACTAGAAACATGGTTCCTATGTGATACATAGGCTCAAGGAGTGTCCCCCAGATGGCACCATATCTCAGCTAGACAGAAGCTAGTTTTTTCTTCCCAAATAATCAGACACAAAGAGGAGGAGATAGATGTAGAAAAGGTTTGTTTTTCTTTCTCCCTCCCATAAACTGGTATCACATCCTTCTGTGCCAAACAACATACTTTTGGGGGTTACAGCTAGTTGTATATGGTTTGGGTTCTCATTTTTAACAAAGTAACCTGAGATCTTTATAACGTGTATTAAAGTTTTATGATTCAGGATTTCAAAGAATTTTCCTTCTCTTAGATTTCTATTCTAAACTAACATTCAAGCACAACACTCTCCAATGAAATACAATATGTGCCATATACATATTTAAAATTTTAGCAGCCACATTGAAAAGACAAATTTAAGTAATGTTTTAACTCAAAATATTATCATTTGAACATGAAATCAATATTTCTAAAATTATTGAGATTATTTACACTTTTGTTGTTTATTTTACATTTTAAGCACATCTTGATTCAAACTAGCCACATTTCCAATATTTAATAGCACATGTGGTCTGTGGCTATCCTATCAAATGGTGGAGTCCTAAGAGGAGAAAGCCAAGAGAAAAGCATCTTCAGAGCGAGTGCATCATAGAACAGTGCATGGTATTATAAAAAAATATTACATTTAAGAAAAACACATTACATAAACACACATTCCAGGAAGGACATACACGCTATGATCTGAACTTTTGTGTCCTCCAAAACACACAACATCCAACCTCTCACTGTGGTGGTATTAAGCGATGGGACACTTAGGGGGGTCATTGGGTCATGAGAACTCCTCTCTCATTAATGGGATTAGTGCCCTTAAAAGACATCTGAGAAAACCTATGTGCCTGTTCCACCAGTGCGGACACAAAGCCCTCTCCAGACACCATCTATGGGGAACAAGCCCTCTCCAGACACCAAGTCTGCTGGTGCTTGCATCCTGGACTTCCTGGCCTCAAGAACAACGTGGAATAAGTTTCTTTTGTTTACTCAGGTATTTCGTCATTGCAGCAACTGACTGGGACACCGTATGTGCCCAGATGACTACAAACTTGGGGTGGGTGAGTTAATGAGGACTTAACTTTGTATGTAATTCAGTTTCACATTCTTTGAATTCTTTTACAGCCAATGTGTAGTATCCCTAGAGCCTGCTAAGACCACTTCTGAACAAATTTCTCCTTGAATAGGTAACAAGACTTTGCCAATTCTGAACTCCTAAAAGATACAGAGGCATTTTCAATGTCCTACCTGGAACAAGGGCAGAGAATACTTGAAAACTGAGTTTAATGACTACATACCAGATAAACTGATATAGAAAAAAACTCTTCATAGCTACAAACTGCACTGTCGAAGATGACACAAAAAATTATGTCCAAAACCCATATATATGTAGTGAAAAAGATCCTCAGGGTAAATATATATATTCCAAAACTAAACAAACAAAACTTCAAAGAAAAAAAAATTTTGAAAAGTGCAGAATGAAGGATACTACCCAAAGGACAGCTCACTTTCCCTGCAGTCACTTGTCCAATTACAACCAGGAAACCCACAAGGAAGGCATCAGCAAACCACAAAGGTGTGGGAAAAGCTTGATCTAACTTTCCTTTTCAAATTCCATATTTAAGCTGATTAAAGTTTACTAAGAAAGAATAGGAAACTTTCCTAACCTTCAACATTGAAGTTAATTTTACTCTATCTAAATTACCGTCTACAGCCAAAGCGATTCCAACAAACCCCATGTTCCCAAAGCCTGGTTTCTGAAGCAGGATCAATTATTTGGGTTAATTTCCTGCATATTGAGTATTCTTGCTCTAACCTAATGTTTCTCCATTAAATTTTTTCTTTAATGCCTTTTTTAAATTTTTTAAATATTTATTTCTTAATTTTAGGTGGACACAATATCTTCATTTTTTTTTTTTTAATGTGGTGCTGATGATCGAACCCAATGCCCCATGCATGCCAGGCAAGCGCGCTACCACTTGAGCCACATCCCCAGCCCTCTTTAATGCTTTTTAATGAACTAAAAAATAAAAAAGAAAATTCTAAATAAAATTTCAGAAATATTACTGATGCATGTGCCTTATCAAGAAGAATCCACTACTCTGTATAAGTATTGTGCACCAATAACAAATTACTAATATTTGACTTGAAATGTTAAAATAATATACATCACAACAAAAAAGTTAGTTACATAGGAAAGACAGTAGAATGAATCTGACATAACTTTCCCATGTTCTCATATGAATACATGACCAATGTAACTCCACATGTACAATCAGAAAAATTGGAAGTTATATTCCATATACGTATATCCAAGTATATCCTACTGTCATGCATAACTAAAAAAAATAAAAAGTTTTAAAACGCTACTAATAAATGAATAGTTTAAGAATATTTTACTGTCTTTGAAACCTACACAATACTCAATTCCTTTCATTTAGTCCTTTAGGACACAGATGGTTTAAGTTATAAAAGAAGCTTATTTCTGAATTGGCTATTAATTATAGAAACTAAAGACCTACAAGTATATTCACATATGAGAAATATTATGAAATGAAACTAGTCACTTTTGTATCTACTGACTTAAAGCACAGACTGTGTTTCCTTCATCCAGAATGCTAGGGACTAGAAATTCTGTTTCAGAATTCAGTTTTGGAACTAGGGAGCATTTTGATGAGCTTTCCTGGTTGAGCATCCCTCGTGTGCAAATATGAAATGCTCCAAATCCAAAACTTTTGAGAGGAAGGGAAATGCCCAAAAGTTTCAGATTTTAGATGTTTGGATGTCAATTGCCATCCTGTATCTACTTATGTTACTAGACAAGACAGGAAACAGGTGTCTTTTGTTACTGTTTCCTATTTTACATTGTGCCTCAATACATAACATAGATTTGATAGTCTTTGAATTTACCTTTTGTAAATGTGCAATAAAATATATTCATGGATAATAATGCCACTAACCAAAAAAATGTAATATTGTATTAGTACTTCACTGTGTCTGCAACAGGCACTCAAGCTGTTCACCGTCATAAATATGTTAAAGTATGCACAGGTGAAATATTCTACATTTCCACAACAAGTTTTTAATGGGGCAAACATACTTAAGGTTTCTGGTTTATTTCAATGACTAAATGCTTAAATCCTCCTTACATGAAAAAAGCTCAATTTCTTTAATGAAATCTTGTTTCCCACTAGGGTTTTTCAGTAACACAGAGGACTTAACCTAAAGCTGAATATCCATGAGGAAGTGAGCTTCAATTTTATAATTTTAAGGCAGCCAGCTGGATTTACCCCATTAACTGCAACATATTTTTTAGAAGGGACAAGGTAAGGGCTTAGTTGGAATGGTTACCGGATAGCAACTATATTTAACAAACGGGTATTATTCTTTCCCAAGAAAAGTTTACCTGTATATTTGAATCTCCCTTTATATACTTTGCTCCTTCTATTATGGCCATGTAAGAGAATCTGAGTTGATCTGGTGTCTGAATAAGTCCCATTCGATATTTTCTCATATTCAGTAACACTTGTTTAATGTTAATATCATCTCCTTTTTCCATCTGCAAGAAAGGTAAAAGTAAGTCAAGCCTTCTTTTGTTACCTTACAGGAAACAGAAGCAACACAAGGTCATTGTTCAGACTTATGCTATGCATTTGCTCGTAGTCATGGTTTGGAGGTGAGGTGTCCTCCCAAAGCTCCTAATGATTCAGGATTGTTCAGAGGTGAAATGAGCTGTAGCCTAATCAGTCCATTTTCATTTAAATGGAGTAACCTGGTGGTAACTGTAGGCAGGTGGGGCACGAAAGGTGGATCACTGGGGGAGTGTCTTGCAAGGGTACATCTTTTTCCCTATGGCCCCTTTCCCCTTGCCAGCCCCGCCCCCAGCTTTCCTGGCTACCATGAGCTGTGCAGCTTTCCTTTGCCTTGTCCTTCTCATAATGCTCTGCAGTCACTTGTCCAATTACAACAGGAAACCCACAAGGAAGGCTCCAAATATACTTTTCCTCTTCCAAGATGTCCTTGTTAAGTGTTTTGGTCACAGTGATGATCTTGTGTGCTGAGCACATTTTTCCTTTAGAACAAGGTTAATTTAACACTCTCCCAGTCCACCCCATCCCTCACAATTCACTTGTTCAAACAGTAGCTGCTGACTTTTGATTCTTCAGCTGATTGACAACTGATTTCAAAACAATCATTCTAATTTCATTTTGGTCAGTAATCAGTCAAAGGACTTAACATATACCACAGACTGGAAAGCTGTTAAGAGTCAGAATATTTTTTTTAATTATTATTTTTTTGTAGTTGTAGATGGACAGAATGCCTTTAATTTATTTGTTTATTTTTATGTGGTGCTGAGGATCAAACCCAGTGCCTCACACATGCTAGGCAAGTGCTCTGCCACTGAGTTACAGCCCCAACCTGAGTTAGAGTCAGAATATTTAAGCCAACAAGTAAATAAGAACTTGTGATGACACCTACCTTGGATAATAGTGACTGGCTATACAGTAAAGCCTAAATCAGTTTAGCATATGAAATTTAAAACATAGCAACTGATAACTGAAAAGGAGGTGTAACAGTTTAGCACTTTAATTTTAAAGAATAATAATACTTTTGTGTGTGTGTGGTAGGGATTTAACCAGGGGCATTCTAACTCCAATTTACATCCTCAGCCCTGTTAAGTTTTGAGACAGGGTCTTGCTAAGTTGCCCAGGCTGGCCTTGAACTTGTAATCATCCTCCTGTCTCAGCCTCCCTGATATTACAGGGATGTGCCAAGGCACCTAGCTTAAGGAAGGACTTAGGATCAGTTGTGGTATTATTTATTTACAAAAGTCCCAGTGGCAGCAGGCCTCTGTGCCACTGCCCTTCTGCCTTCTTCATATCTAGACTACAGTGGCCACCTAAAAATGGTGGAAAGTTCAGAGAAAGCCTCAGTCCACAAACACACTGCAGAGCCACCATACCATCTGTAAACTACTGATTTAGTTTTAGAAAGACCTCCAAATTGAAAAAGAAAAAAAAAAAAATGGTTGCTGTCATTAACAGCAACCAAAATGTTTATATACGGCGAGGTTCACTGTAATGTAACAATCCAATTTTTGATGAATATAATAATCCGATAGGTTAAAACTGAACTGTAATTTCTAGCTTTCAGATGCAAGATTCAAAATGCTCCACCAAGAATGTTATCACATTGATCAAGATCCCCATTAAAGTACGTGTGTTTACCAGGAGTACATCTTGTGAATTCATGTGAGCACCTACTTGTGCTAGCAGTCATATTAGAAAGCCTGAGAATGCTAAGACCAGAGCAATGAAGCATAGCTACACTTTACAGGGAAAGCTAAGAGACTAATAAATAAAGTAAAGTGAGGCAACACAGGGCCGTAAACCCTAAGAATACCAGTCTACTAAATTGCTCACATTGTTGATAATACTAAAACAAGCTCAGGAAAGTATAAATTACACTAGGGGGAATATTGAAAGAGATGACACTGAAATCAAAGCAGAAGGTACTACTGATGGGTTTGATTGTATAATAAAAGGAGGGACAAATGACAGCAATAGGAAAGGGAATCAAGGGAAACCAGAGGCCCCCTACAACCAAAACAAAGAAAAAAACGAAGGTTCTACAAAGCCAGAAAAGGACCGGAATCCAGGTGGTGGCTGGGAATGGTGGGTGGAGACTTACAGCTCTGGGTGTGTACACAAGAATTCAGGGAAGGAAAGATAGCACCAGGTAACACTTGCACAGTCCTCACAGGGGCCCTGTAAGTACTGTCACTAGCCCCAGTGAAGGAAAAACAGACAAAGAGCTTGTCCGAGCAGGGAGAAATTCAATACCAAGGTGATTTTACTGGAGAGGGGGCCTCTTACTTCTGTAGTGTGAAACTACCAGAGAAAAGCTTCTTCTTGCGAGCTCAGTTGTCACCTTGACTCAAGTCCACAGGCATTAAGGAGGCAGTCCAAAGAGTGGAAATGACTGTTCTAGGTTTTGCCCAAAGAAAGAAGTTTAACCTTAAGAAACCTGGCTCTGGGATATGACATCAGAGCCTATTCCTGCCAGTAGGCAGAAAAAAAGAGGACTGAAATGAGACCATAAATGGCACTTACCAAAACAAGACAGGTGTCCACTAGAGAGAAGGTGCCAGAGCGCCCAATACCTGCACTACAGTGGATCACTGCAGGCCCATGGTCAGGATTCAAGGAGCCAGATTCTCTCACTTTAAATAAGAAATTGAGAAACGAAGCTGGTGACTCAGGGACTCCAAAGTCTGGCCAGGTAGTATAATGAAAGTGAGAGATTGTCCTGGTCTCCCCACTCTAGAAAGTAAGATTAAACAAGAGAAAGTTAGTGACCATTCTTGGCTTTTTTTTTTTTTTTTAAGAAATATTTATTTTTTGATGTAGTTGGACACAACACAATGCCTTTATTTATTTTCTTTATGTGGTGCTGAGGATCGAACCCGGGTCCTGCCCGTGCTAGGCGAGCGCTTTACCGCTGAGCCACAATCCCAGCCCCATTCTTGGCTTTTTTAAAAAAGCAAAAAACGATGTCAGAAAGATCATGTGTTTTACTCAACGCTGTTAATCTTATGGGCTGTTTATACTTCCATTTTCCCATTTGGGTTTTGATAAGCATGTATGCAAATCAGGGAAGTTTTTTTTCTTTTCTTTAGAGAGGTTTAGAATATATTAATAGCTAACACATATAACACATCACTTTGGAGGCTTGTTTTAAGTTCATTGTTTATTATCTCAATTCATACAAAATCATATCAGAAACCATTTTCCAGGTGAGGAAACTGAGGCAAAAATTAATTTGTCTAAGATCAAGGGCAATAAATAGGGCCTGGACTTGAAGCAGCAGTCTAGAATTTCAGTTCTTAACAATTAGCTTGTACCATACATGCTACCAATATTTTCTCTAATTCATGTATCACAATAAACACATTTTTTTTCTCTATTTAAAAAAATTACTATCATAATTTTCACTTTCTTTTTTTTAAGTTTAATTTTGTAAATATAATCTCCCTCTTAATATGATTTGTCTTGAAAAGCAGCTCCACATATAAAGAGGAGCAATACAAGAATTAATTTAGAGGAATAATCTTTACATTTTTAATTGAAATAGCTCCTCTAATTGCTGTCTTTCCCCAATGTAATAAACCCCAGTCCTGAAGCTGGGTATGTGCCCTGCTGATGTAAGATGGTGCACCAACATGCCCAATGCCTCTGTCTCTGAGGTCTGCCTGGCATCACTATCACTTCCTGGATGTTCCTGATGAGCCTTATTCTGACTAATTCATTATGAAAATGTTCCTTAGCATTCTGCCAACTGCCTTTTGCCCTAGGAAGCACTGCTCTAGTTTATAGTCTTCGTTTCTGTAAATGAAGCAGTGATTTTCTAATGTCTGCACAATTTTCTAGTTTTATTGCAGGACATTTCTAAAAGGAGGAGGCACAGAAAAAATTAACAGCTAAACATCACCATAATGTCCTGTTCCCAGTGAAAATTTTCAAAATTAGAAGGCAGCTTTCACATTTTGATAATTTTGCCTTTTTCAGTACGAATTAAGACTCCTAAGTCATAAAAGATACTGAAAAAATACAATGTAGAAATTAAAAAAAAAATTAACTACATATGTTTAGTCACTTTTTTTTTTTTTTTTTTGGAGGATGGCCTTAGGCCTGAGCCTAAGCAACTCCATTTTTTATTTTTTTTTACCTTTATTTTATTTATTTATTTTTATGTGGTGCTGAGGATTGAAGTCAGGGCCTCGCACGTGCTAGGCGAGTGCTCTACCGCTGAGCCACAACCCCAGCCCCTAGTCACTTTATTTTTAGTATCTGTTTTCATAATTCCAAATACACTGTGATCCATAGGGTGTCAATATACTGAAGGTACTAAAACATTTCTCTGTTACTATTTAAATGATTTCTAGATTTCAAAACATTTCCTTGTTGTTGTGTGTATGTGTGTGTAAGAGAGATTGAATCCAGGGCTTGCTTGCTGTATGGTAAGTGGGTATTCTACCACTTAGCATCTGAGTCGCTGGGATTAAAGGTGACTACTACTGCACCTACTCAGCCTTCCTTTTAAATTCTAAAATACGTAGTTGGCTTTGGTGGTGCACACCTATAATCCCAGTCACTGGAAAGGTGGAGGCAGGAGGATCCAAGTTCAAGACCAGCCTGGGTGGTCTTTCTCAAAATAAAAAAAATTAAAAGGGCTGGGGATGTAGCTCAGTGGTGGAGTACCCTGGGTTCAATTCCCAGCACCAAAAATGAATGAATAAATTAATAAAAACGACCTAAATTCAGTATGCTAAGTGAAAGAAGCCAGATTCTAAAGTCTCCATTTATATGACATTCTGGAAAATGCCATACACAGGAACAAAAACTAGATCTGTGGTTGGTGGGGGCTGGAGGTGAGGGATAGGAATGACTATATGCAGGTAGCACAAGAAAGTCTGAGAGGTAACAGAATTGACCCATGTTTTCTTTATGGATTCATTTAGACAATTGAACACACTCTGAAAAGTCATACGACTACACACCAGGAAGAGTCAATCCTACTGTAGGTAAACAGAAAAAAAAAATCTATACATTCTAAATCATGAAGGCTAACTATAGCTTCCTTTTACAAAATCATAAGTTCACAGTAAACATGGCAATATCCACACAGGAATGGGCCAAAGAGACTGACTCCTGATTAGCCAAGGGATATAGTTAACTGTCATGTTTTCCTTTAAATGAGGTGTAAAATGCCAGTGGGTGTTTTTGACCCCGCTTTTCCCCCTGTTAGCTGCTCTATTATGGTCATCAGCCACTATGCAGAACTAACAGGCACTGCAAGACTGGCCTTGGTTCACAAGAGCCTAAACCAGGTCTGGTGTGGACCACCCCAAGTTCCCAGGACTGTGCTCATGTGTGAGTGTATGGCTGTGCTCCCCAAGGAAGGGCCCGATGCTCCCATCCTGCTTATGCTCAACTACTGCATCACTTCCTGGCTCTAAATGCATCACAGTTACCCATGATCTTGAGCAACTGATTTTTTTTTTTTTTTAAACATCATTTTGGCTCAAGGCTTGTGATCTCTCTCTTTTTTCAAATTCTGGTCATGTTGTCTGGGATACTCAAAGTCAGTTCCCAGAAACACTCAACTATTCGTACAATACGGTCTCCCCCTCGCCAAGAGATTTTTAAAAACCAGCGCTTTTCACGCCTTGCAAAACCAGACTGAAGGACATTTTTAAGAGGTTAATTTTGATTAATTTATTCTTACTGAAACAAGATTCAAAGATGCAGTTCAAAAAAAGATATAATTCAGAGTCAATATAAGAGGAGAAAAAAGTTGCCCAAGAATAGAGAACTAAAACTAAATCCATCTTTACTCTAAATAAGCTCTATAACTTGGACTTCACGAATCTGACGAAGTCCTTATGTCAAACTCTGGTCCCCTTCTGGTCACCAAGGCACACCAGCTCTACCACTCTGACCTGTCGTTTCCCACCTTTCCCTGTGGCTCCAGCTCATACACCCCACCATACCCATATTACATCCATAGTTACATTTACGTGGCGGTCCTGGTGCAGCCATTCCTTGCAAACTACATCATGTATACTATACCCTTGAACCAAAAAAGTTGCCAGCTTATTGCTCTTTTAAATAAAAAACATTTACATTGTTTGAGGGAGAATTCTTGATGTAAGGTCTTTGAATGTGGATGTCAAACTTGATACATTTGGAGACCAAAAAGTTAGGTAGGCATAAGACAATGGGGAGCTGTTGGCTTAGGACAATTTAAGTATATGTCCTTCCTAAAGCCATTCAAATAATAGCTAATATTTACAATAAATATGGAAGACTATAAAATTTTTAATTATTATAAATAATCTACACAGCTCCATGGCCCCAGCCCAATTATTTTCATATTTTATGTATATATTGAAGGTACCAAGATTATGTTTCTAAAAGATTTTCTTTAAGCCCTAGTTCTGTAATCTATAATGGAGTTCATGATATAGTACTTACCTTACAAGGCTGTTGTGAAGAATAAATGAAATGATGAATGTAAAGTTTACCTGCATGTGGTAAACTGGCTATTTCTAAAACAATTATACTAACTGCCTTTGTTGAAATCCATAAACAGCTCCAATAAATTATCAAATCTGCTAATCTTTAACCTCCTCACTGAACTGTTCTTCTAAAACTAAAGACTGACAAAGTGTGCCAGCCCTCTTCCCTAACCAGAGGTCAAATTTGTATTCTCCCTGTCACTGCCTTACCTACTTTTGCCAGAATCTCATCACCAGTGATCAGTACTGACTATAATTCACTGAGAAAGATGGACAGAACTCATCAGATCAAGAGTGGCAGTATAAGAAGGCACAGGGAAAAGCAATGTGCAGAAGCAGAGGCCCCTGGGAACTGACCTCTTTGTAATGTCTAAGTTTGTTAGAAGGAGCAACAGGTACTTGCAGGAAAAAGGCACAGAAGGAGTTGAGGACCAAGTTGGGCGGGTCATGGACTTCTGTACTAGACATGAACTTTCCTTGATAACTAATGGGAACCAGGGAAGGATCTCTAGAGCACAGAGGGGTCACACCTGTGTTCTAGGACAATCACTCAGGTGTAGTATGCTTAACAATACACTTGGTATGCTGACAGAGGAGAGTATAAAGGAAGCAAATATGGACTCTACCCCTGGGTGGGGGTGGCAGAAACCTTGTTACAGAGTCAGAATACACACACACACACACACACACACACACGTATTGAAGAAGCCAGTAAAATTTAAAAATCAGGAAGAAGTGTAAGACTCATAGCTGCTAGGAATGAATGTGTCACAGTTACCTTAGGACAGACCTAAGTAAGAAATGGGCCACATGGAGATGCTGATGTGCAGAATACAAATAAACAGGCACAGAAAAAAGGAGGACATTCTAGGTGGGATCAACGGCTTAAACTATTTTGAATCAGATCCCAGTTGAGCATCATAATAATTAGACACTCATCCTGTTCTGGGTAAATCTACAGGGACAGGGAAATAGAAGAGTCAGCATTATAATAGTATTCCTGGAACCTGAGAAACATAAAAGCTGGCCAACAATCTTACGGAAAACAGTGCAGGGCAACTAAAAACAAAGATCTGAATGACCAATAAGTATTCCACATGACCTGATATTTTTAAAGCCCCTCAAAAATATCTCCAAAGCTTAAGTCCAGGAATCCTCTGAGAACACAGATGGAACCCCTTCTTTCAGGGGCACAAGTTGGGATTCGCTCAGCTGTAAGAAAGACACTGTAAAGGGCTTCTGATAAATGGTCTGGCTGCTCATTAGACTGGAGGTCTACAGCTTTTAAACAGTCCTACTCTTGTGGAAGTGGGCCATGTCTCCATGGTTCAGGGAGCTAGAGAGAGGTGTGCAGGCAGCAGTGGGCTACCAAATGGGTGCCTCAAACTCCAAATCTAATAATAAAGAAATTATATACATATATATATTTTTTTGTACTGGGGATTTATCCCAAGGGTGCTTGACCACTGAGCCATATCCCCAGACCTTTTTTGTTTGAACTCACAATCCTCCTACCTCAGCCTCCTGAGCCACTGGGATTACAGATGTGCCACTGTGCCTGGCTAGAATAATTCTTAAAACCACTATAAAAAAGTCCAAACTTTTGAGTAAGAAAAGTCTTACATTGATATTTTCTAATTGTAGCAGATGTACTGTATAATAAGACTTCACATCTTCGGACAAAAGCTTCACACTAAATCCTGTTTCTTTAAACAGCATCTCTCGGTCATCTGTTGGCCAGTACTGTGCACATTTAACCTAAAATTGAAAACAGCAGTATATAAGCATTATAAAACCATAAAAAGTTGAAAAGTGAAAACAAACTGCACACATATACTATATGTTTTCAAGTATCAAATCCTAAGAAGAGTCATCACTATATTTTAATAAGATTGATATTTTATAAAGTAGCTTTGTAAAATGTTCCTATAACTTTTAAACTAAAAAAGCCACAAATAAATATCATGTACAAAAATAAAATTCTAAAATCTGATTTTAGAATTAAAAAACATTTAGTTATAAATGGACACAATATCTTCATTTTATCTTTTAATATGGTGCTGAGGATTGACCCCAGTGCCTCACACATGTGAGGAAAGCACTCTACCACTGAGACACAACCACAGCCCTGAAATCTGTTATTTTTAAAGCACAATAATCTATATTACAACACCACATAGCATTCACTTTCTAGAAGTTATCAAACTATCCCCAAAATACCTTCAAATTGTATTGAAAAGGCTTTATTTTTGCAAGTATTTTCATAATTACCTATAAATTTGCAATTAATACTACACATCTAGAAATATTACATACATATTTCTACTTACTAAAGTTAATAATTTACTAAAATTAAACCAGGGGAAAGAATCAGAAGATAAGCCTCTTTTACCTAGAGTGGTTAATATAGGTTGAGCATCCTTTATTGTAAATGCTGGGATGTTAAGTCTTGTTTCAGATTTTAGAGTATTTGCACATACATAATGAGGTATCCTGGGAATGAAATAGAGTCTAAAGGCAAAATTCATTAATGTTTCACATACACCTTACATCTATAGCCTAAAGACAATTTTATGCACTATTTTTAGCTTGCGTGCATTGAAGCTGTGACCCATCACAATAAGTCAGTGTGAAATTAATGTTATTTCAAAAAAAGAAAAAAATATTTAAGTAATATAGGCAAAGAGAATAACAGACTTATTAAGGAACAAAATAAGATGTCTATTTGACAGCAATTTGTAATGTCAAAAGGAAATGAAACAATGAAGCTGAGAAATGAAGTAACATAATTTAAGTTGTTCAAAAGAAAAGCAAATGTGAGCCAAGAATTTGATACCCGGCCTAACTGACTTCTAAGGGTTTTTGTTTGTTTTGTTTTGTTTTATAAAGTAGATAAACTGTGACAGGTTAAAAAAAAAAACAAAAAAACCCCAGAACCTATATAATATCCAGGAATCCTTCCTTAGCAACCCACTAGAGAAAAAGCATTAGTCAGAATTGGAGAGGCATCAACAAAACTGGTGATAAATGTTAAATACATACAGTTGGTCTTCCCTATTCATGGGTTGCCCACCTAAATTCCACTGACCTTGGATCAAAGATATTCAAGAAAAAAACAACTGTACTAAATATGTAAAGATTTTTTTTTTTGGGGGGGGGGTATCTTTATTCCCTAAATAAAAAACAGTGTTAACTATTTACACAGCATTGTATTATATTGTTAACGAGTAATCTAGAGATTATTTAAAGTATAAGGAAGGGGCTAGGAAAATAGCTCAGTTGGTTGAGTCTTGCCTAGCATGCACAAAGCCCTGGGTTCAATCCCCAGAACCACGAGGAAAAAAAAAAAAAAAAGTAAAGTATAAGGAAGAATGTGCACAATTTATAAGCAAATGCCACACAATTTTATGTAAGGGATTTAAGCATTGTAGATTTTGGTATCAGTGGAGGATTCTGATACTGATCTCCCCACAGAATGAGGGGAGAACTAAGATTTAAAAAGAGATGTAAGGGAGAGACTATAGTATATTACAGTCTCTGACAATGTAGGTTTGTACAATTAAAAAAAAAAAAATAACCTGGAAGAGAATGGGAAAACATTTTAAAAATGTTTAATTAAGCAGGTGTAATGGGGGATGGCTGTAATCCCAGTTATTCAGGTTGTTGAAGCAGAAATTACAGGCCAGTCTCAGCAATTTACCAAGACACTATCTCAAAACAAAAAATTTTAAAAAGGCACAGGCATGTAGCTCAGTGGGTGAGAACCTGTCTAGCAGGCAAGAGGCTCTGGATTCAATCCATAGTACTGCAATACCTACATGCGCGCACACATACACACAGCAAGCTCAACTATTTTCAGTAATTATTTTGGTGGTAGGGCTGATGTCATTATTGGGACTCTTATTTTCTGTGTAATATGGTATGAAGTAAATGAGTCTAAAATATTTGGCATCCCTGATATCTTTGAATACCAGGATTCTTGCTGTAAAAAAAAGTAGCAGGTTATGATAGAAGGGGTTAAGACAATCTCTGCAGTTCCAAATCTGAACTAGAAATCTGTGTGAATTCGTCAGACGTATTGTATCTTAACAAACATATCTGTACCTAGCTCTGTCCACTAAAAAGCCTTAAAAACAACCAGCAAGCCAGTAACAATAAACATCCTTATTTCTGTGGTGCTCTTGAAATAGCATTGCCTTTTAAGAGTAACACAGCTCCTTGGGGAAACGGCTAGCTCCAGATTCAGGATAGTAAAAGTTTAAAATGAGCCTGAAACTGGTAATCATTCCAGAGAGCAAGAAAGCTATAAAAGACCCTTAGTTTTGTGTTAAAATGACTCAGGGTTCAACCTAAAGAGATTTCTGCTAGTCGATGAAGGAATGATCTGATTACCAGTAAGTACAAAGGAGTGAGATGGATCAAATATGTTAAATACATAACAATTCATCCTCTCCTCACAACTGGTCCTCTTTTGAGGATCCTAGAGAATGAACTGTTCTGAAAACTGCTTTTTCTATACTGTAAAAAAGTGGTACTGGAATAGAAAGTGTTTTTTGTAGAATTCCAACAAAAACAGAACAGGAGAGAAAGAAAAATTACCATTTGTAAGCCATATGAATTAAGGAGGTAAGCACTGGTCAACAATGATTGCTAAGGTCATAAAAAGACAATCAGACACTACAAGTCTCTTGACAAGCAACACATTATATGAAGGAATCTACCCCCAAACAACTGCACCTGAATCATGAGCACTTGATTCGCCCACCATAAAAATGATGTCTAACTTCTGATGGTATTCTTATCCTATTAATATAGCAACTGTACTCCAAAATGAAAGGAATGGAACTTATAAATCATCTAGTTTGCAATGCTGTTCAAACTAACAATGTCACCATCACTTAATTTCTAAATGAGTTTGGAGACATGAAAGACCATTATAAAGGGTGATGCTGACACTACTGGAAATCCTGGTTTGTCAGTGCCACTTCAGAGTAGAAACAAATGAAAATCATACTATTACTGAAAACCAGTACCTATGAATTTAAGAAAAAGTAGGCATCAGGTATCTGAAGAAGTAGAACATTACAAAATCTTAAAACTGGGAGAGTCTTTAGTTGATAATAAGTCCCAATTTGCTTGTCTGATGGGAATGTAATCTAAAGCTACAGAAGTCAGAAGCCTTAAAGTCTACCACTCACTGGCACTATGCTTAAACCGTAATCTGAAATTTCAATAAGTTTATATTTGCCCACTTTCATTATGACCTAAGTCAATTATAAATTATAAAGATCAAAAGACCATCATTTTAATCTTTTTGAAAACTTCCAAGATTTTAATAATATCATGAAAATTCTAACAAAGCCTAGGGATTCCAAAGAGCTCCATTATCACCACCAGTTCAGTATTTGTTCCATTACATTTATATCTCAGAGATCAAAGGTCACCAATTGTTTTATAAATATTTAAGGTAAGAAAGGAAAAGGAAGGGCTGGGGCTGTGGCTCAATGGTAGAGTGCTCGCCTAGCAAGTGTGAGGCCCTGGGTTTGATCCTCAGCACTGTATAAACATAAATAAAATAAAGATATTGTGTTCAACTAAAACAAAACAAAACAAGACAAAGGTATTGTGTCCAACTACAACTAAAAAATAAATATTGGAAGGAAGGAAGGAAGGAAGGAAGGAAGGAAGGAAGGAAGGAAGGGGATACATTACTTCTGGTCAGAAACATCCTGACCACCAGCCTTTAGCAACTAAAGCCCAAACTAATGAATACCCTCCATGAAAACCTTTATAAGCTAAAGATCATATGCAGTATACTCAATTGTAAGACTCACTCACCGATTCTTTCTCCACAATTCGGTTCAGCATGACAACTGCTTTGGACTTCTGCTGCCAAACCATGAGCCAGAAGTGGCAACATGTGTTGGGAAGTGGACCCTGTAAGGACAGAGAGAGAGCAGATCAGGAAAGGGGACCAGAAAAGAACAAGGCTCCATCCAGGCCAAGCTCCCTCAAGGGTACTTCTGGTGTGCCATGAGTATAGCCAATGGGGTTGAGTCCTAGTAAATACATTTAAACTTTAAATGCACTTGAATTAAAAAACCAGTCTGTGCTAGTTACGATTTGGGGCACAAATGATCAAAATCTTTCATTTACCTAAGTAAAGCAGGAAAAAACTTTGTTTAGGATACCAAGTGGTTTTCAGAGTTGAGGGCTGGAGACTATGAGTTAAAGCACAATCATCTGTCCCAAGAGACCAAAGTTGAGATACTGCTCCTGATATAGGATTATCACCTGGCTTTTGCTGCCAAAGCTAAAAGAAGGTGGCTGTAGTATTCAAGCATAATCTATATGCGAACCAGAGACAAAATCATGACTGAGACCATCTGACTGCTCAGGTTCTAGCTGCAAAGGCTGGAGTCAAAGGAAATATCTGTCACCTTCAGCCTCTGAGAGCAAGAGGCTAGCCAATCAGCCCAAGTCAATTACAAAAGAATCCCCCCCCCTACAAAGTGGAAATCATGTACATATGCAAATCACTCTGAAACTATCAATCTACAAAAGCACAATATGTTCAGCCTCAATGGCAAAGTATTTGGGAGAGTTAAAAGGAGCAATAGTCCATACTGTAATAATGACACTGGGGGAGAAAAATCATATGTATTTCTAATTACCTTTCCCTTTTACTTAACGATGGTATAGGGCAAAAGGAAAGATAAGTAACAGATGAAAAGGCAATGCCCAAATCATAAATTGTTGATTTTTTTGTCAAGGCAGAGATGGATCCCAGGGCCAAGTTAACACTCCACCACTGTGCTGCAACACAGCCTAATTAATTTCAAATGGGTGAACATTCAAATAAGTGGATTTTATTGTACTCCACATAACTCAACGTGTAATCGATTCACAGGGTAGTGTAGTACAGTGGTGAGAGTTAGGGGTAGGAACAGAGGTAGAAGTAGGACACTGGGGGCCAAGGCTGCCCAGAGCTGCAGTCCCACATGTAGTAAAGAGATTCAAATGGCTCTACGCTGAAAGCATCATTAGAGTAGGAATATTCCTAGGCATGTAGCAGATGCTCAATAATTATTGCCTAAGTAAGGAAACTCTATTGTTAACTGTAAAAATGCTAAAAAAATCTATTAAGAATTATGAGAAACTATAATTAAAAAAAATTTTTTTAGTTGTAGATGGTCACAATACCTTTATTTTATTTATTTATTTTTATGTGGTGCTGAGGATTGAACTCAGTGCCTCACACATGTGAGGTGAGTGCTCTACCATTGAGCCACAACCCAGCCCAAGAAACTGTGATCTTATATTTAAGGGTACTCTTCTCACTCAAGTTATGTATCTGATGCTTTACTTCTAAAGCAAAACAAAACATACAGCCTAAAGGTAACAAAAAGCAATAAGAAAACCCCCAGTTTGAAGAAAAACACAAAGCAATTCACTAGTGAGGTCACCCCTTAGTGTGCACATACACCCCAACTCCATTAGTGCCTCTGAAGATTAAATAATAAACAGGGAAACAGTTGTGACTGAATTAAGACCAAGCTTTTTTAATTGCAGAGACAAATTTATCTCTCAGCTCTCCCATGTACTCAGAACGCTACCACTTTTTTAAATCTGAAAAGTAGACTTAATATACCAAGGGGCTGATTTCTAAAAAACTACTGCTAATAAAACTGAGAGAGAAATGATTCAATTAACAATCACAAAGAACAATCAGAACAGTGGAAGTAGTGAACATTTGATGTTCTCTACCCTGTCAATTGTTTTCTAAGTAGTACTTTGTTTCATATAATGTGCAGGGTACCAGGGCAAAAGCATAAGGAGGTGCAATCTCAGCCTTCCAGGAAGGAGTGTGCAGAGAGGACTAGCGTCAAGGGCCACAAGGGGAAAGGTAGACCATCAGGTCTGAGGGAAGAAGACGACTAGAAAGGAAACCACAGCGGGGCTGCAGGAAGAAGAGATACAGAATGTGCAGAATCTGCGGATTTAGCCAATCTCATCCAGCATAGCCTGGACAACGCCGGGAGGAATCCAGGAAAGAAGAAAAAGCTGGAGACAGGCTTCTAAGTTATCACACTCTAGATGAGTGGGCTCTATCTGGGGGGTCACAAAATCTATAACTAACCAATGGGGTAGTGGAATGGGCTTCCAAATGCTTACAGAAGGGTCACTATTACTACAGTTACTACAACTGACAAGAAGCAACAACTTGACAAGTAACACCTGGAGCATCTACCAGTGCCAGGCACTGCAGAGTCTCACCACACCCTGTACAGACCACAGACTGCACAGACGAAGAGGCCTGGGGAGGGAAGGCACTTGTCCATGGTAACACTGCATTTTTTTTTTTTTTTTTAGAGTCAGGGCCTCAATAAACTGTTGAAGCTGGCTTTGAACTCGTGATCCTCCTACCTCAGCCTCTGGAGCCACTGGGATTACAGGCATGCGCTATCGCACCTGGCCTCGCACAGCAATCTTTTTTTATTTTTATTTTTTAATATTTTGTTGTCAATGGACCTTTATTTTATTTATTGCTAGGCAAGTGCTCTACCACTGAGCCACAACCCCAGCCCCTCACACAGCAATCTTAAGGCAGCAGGGTAGAATGACTAAGAGCAGGACCTACTGTGCTGTACAACCTTGGTAAACTTAATGTTCTTGAGTCTCTTTGGATTTCTGCTCTATAAGTATAAGGACTGGGCTGGGGGCTGTGGTTCAGTGATAGAGCACTTGCTTAGCATATGTGACGAACTGGGTTCGATCCTCAGCACTACATATAAATAAATAAATAAATAAATAAAAGATCCATTAACAACTAAAAAAAAAAAAAAAGACAACAGTATTTACCATAGAAAGTTGTCCTGTAAAATAAGGCATGTAAAATAAGGAACAATGTTACAAAATTATTTTAACTGGTATTATTTTCACTTTACTAGAATATAAAGTTCATAATGACAGAGTTTTCATTAAAGTCTCTTTTACTCAAACAAGGTCTGCCACAGAGTAGGTCTCACTAAATCTGCTGGATGAATGAACAATGAGGTGTTGGCACCAGGATCTCAGCAGATACTGGGGGACAGAGTACCCTGTCTTGGGTTTCAGAGGATGAAAACCATGGTCCCAAGAGCTGAAGTGAACTTGGAGGAGAAAAAGCTAAGTTAGAAACTGAAGAAAAGATCCATTTTTAAGGACTGAGAAAGAACCAATAAATGGTAGAGAGGAAGAAAGGGTTGTGATTAGGGTCATGGGTAACCATTCTTTTCTCTTTTTTCATGTTACTCTTGTCTTAAGTAGAAAGTACCTGGGATTGAACCCAGGGGTGGCACTGAGCCACATTCCCAACCCCTTTTATGTTTTATTTTGAGAAAGGGCCTCTCTAAGTTGCTGAGGCTGGCTTTGAAATTGTGATCATCCTGTCTAAGCCTCCTAAATCACTGGGATTACAGGTGTGTGCCACCACATCCAGCTAAAGTAAATATTTTAGCTAAAATACTGCTTTATTAAAGAATTTCATGGGGCTGGGATTGTGGCTCAGTGGTAGAGCACTCGCCTAGCATGTGTGAGACCCTGGGTTTGATTCTCAGCACCACATAAAAATAAGTAAATAAAATAAAGATATTGTGTCCAACTAAAAAAAAATTAAAAAAAAAACAAAACACTTCATGAAAGTACATAAGAAAAACTTCAACTATTACACAAAGGCTGAATGTGGCAAATGAATGTCTTATTCCCAGTACCCAGAAATATCCACCTCTATTGATGTGTATGTGATGAATCTATTTAACCCATTTAGCCCTATGCTCTGAAAATAAGTTTGCAATCAACACATGCAGCTGTATCTTCATGTCTTGTTGGTACTACTCAGGAGTCCTTCTCAATCAGGGTGTGCAGCCACTGAGTATTTTACACTGTGTAAATCTCTACTGTCCCAACAGGTAAAAAGTGGTAGCTGATTACTGGTTTAGATTTACATTCCATAAATACTTTCCAAATGAAGTATCTTCTCATAGATATGCTACCCTATTTTGTTTTTAGAACTGTGACTTCATGTTCTTTGACAGTTTTTTTCTCACAGATTATTTCTTTTTGATTTATAGGAGCTCCTTCATCTCAAGTAAACTGATTTTAGTTTCCTGTGAATTAGAAATAGTCTAATAGTTCACAGTTATATTAATCTGAAATACTTTTTTTTTTTTAACTACATCAAATGTTTTTCAAATGACAGGTCATTCTGATCCAGGTTAGGATTTTAAAATTCTGAAATATTATGGCTTATCTTCTGAATACTTAAAAATCTGTAACTGGGAGAATGATACGGTGGTTAATTTAGTCTCCATTATTTGATAAAGAGCAGCTGGTGTGGACAAACAAATCATGGGTGCATGGGTGTGGCCCAGGCCTCAAGCTGTGGGGCGGAATGCCATGGGGAGCCTGCAGGCACCCTGGCCTGGACTCTGGGGCACCTGGCCTCTCCACTGGAGAGCGCCAACACCACCCAAGGCACGAGTACATTCTGAAGGTGAGACCGAAAGAGAAGAGCTTGCAGGGGCCTCTGGCTACGCTTTCCAGGTCAGGTGAAGAGAACTGGAAACCCACAGTAAGCAGCAGCAGAAGCCTGGGTCAGAGAGAAGGCAGGGAAGACAGTGTGCCTGCAGAGGACTGGTCAGTCTAAGCCACTGCGTAGAAATTTTTTTTCATAGACATATTAACATTAAACACAACTTCACAAAAGAAGTCAAGCTACACTTTTGGCCAAGCTGAAGTAGAGCCACAAGCTCCAACTCTGCTTTTCCGCGAGCCACACGACTTGCCTGTGTCAGGACGTAACTCCTCCGTGCCTCTCCCATGTCAACCAAGCTGGCATTGATGTAATCATTTTCTGCATTCTGCAGTTTAACACGACTGTGATCATCTGAAAACAAAGTGATAAACCATAACTGTCATTTCAAATTCATCGATTCTTTTTTGGTCTTAATATTTATGCTCTAAGGTATTCATAAAGAATAAAACAAAGAAAAAATAAATTAGCTCCTAAATTATTCCCTATTTTTGTAAGGAAGTACAAAACATCTTGTTTGCTACTACAGCATTAGAAGAAAAGTGTGTGTTTGTAGTATGTGAACCTTTGTAACTTGACAAATTAACTGAAGTGTGAAACACAGTAGAACAAACAAAGAACTTACCTTCCTAGAAGTAAAGGTTTGTTTAGATTCTGGGGGCCTAAGGAGGGACTGGTCTACCTACAAAAAGGTAACTGGTCTCAAACAGATGATACCAGGTTTCATTTTCTTCATTTCTTAACAGATACATACTCAATTGTATTTAAGATTTTTAACACTTAACTATGTTTAAAGGAGTGCTAAAAACTGGAATACTTTAACTGTATTTTTAAAAGACCACTGAAAATGCTTTATTATTTAAGACTGTTAACCATTTGTATACATTTCAAGTTTTTTTTTTTTTTTTTTTAATTTTTAGTTGTCAATGGACCTTTATTTATTTATATGTGGTACTGAGAATCAAACCCGGTGCCTCACACATGCTAGGCAAGTGCTCTGCCACTGAGCCACAACCCCAGCCCATGTTTATAGTTTTTAAAAGTAAAAATCTCATAGATTTAAAATTCAAATATTTGAAATATAAAACTTGACCTTGTATCATTTAGAGAAAGGAAGAAAAGCATGAAATGAGAAGAAGCATGTCACACCAAGGTGAATGTGAGCTGAAAGCCCTAAATACAAATGTCAGAAGCACAGAACCAAGGTATGGACTAAAGGCACATTGCACATTTGACCCTGGAGCATAGTCTACAGTCTACATTTCCCCTCAAGGAAGTGTGCACTGAACATTGACTCTCTCTCCACATTTAAACTAAAACCTGTCTCTATCATCTCCATACGAAAGAAAATGTTAGATGGCTTCAGATTCACACATCAATTTATCTGAGATGTTTCTGCTGGAATGAACCCAAGACCTCTGTAAATATTACATGTCATTTGCCAACAGGAAAAACTAAGATCTTGTTATAGTAAATCACATATACTAGTGTTCTCGGAAAGATGATGTCAGCAAGCACTTCTTTTTTTTTTTTTTTTTTTTAACGGTACAGTCTCTCTCTTTTTTTAACAGTTTCATCACCCTTTAACTGTTATGTTGTACAAGATAGTAAAAAGATCAGCTAATCAAAGAACAAAAAAAAAGACCATAGATCTCCTAGATAACAGACATATCAACAAAATAATGCATTCTTTTAGAAAGCTACACAGTCCTAAAAATTCAAGTGTCCTAAGATACTATGCCAAAGGAATGTATTTCCTCATGTTGCAATCACAGAAAGAACACAAACCCCAAGGCTACTACTCATCCATTTCACAATGAAAAACGACCTTCTAGCCAACCTGCAACCGGGAAGGTCAGCTTCCCAGGGCACGAGGAATCTGGTTATCCAACATGGTACCCTTCTACACCTCACACAGCTGGGTAGAAGGCATGCTGTGTGGGCAGTAGAACACCCCTCCCTTGGGTCTATGTATTCAAATTCACTGTGATTTCCCCCCAATCTTTAACATCTATATAATATTTGTTACTCCCAAACTTTACCAACATAGTAATCACAAACCCGGCTAAAAGCACAGGTCCACTCTTTGGAGCCAGGAGGCACAGGGTGCTACCGGAAAGCCACTAGAGTTCTGCAGAGCCTAGGCACAGGCAAGGCCTGGCTTCCTGTCTAACATTAAAGCAAAGGACACGAACTTCTCTCAGGGGGAAATAAAATTAAATAATTTTTTTAAAATTTTGCTGGCAGGTGACAATAAAAAACGAAAGTAATACTTGGGAAAACTCTATAGCTATTTAGAATTGCCTACAAATTGTGGCTGAAACTATATTTTCTTCTCAGGATTGATTAAAACTAAACTCTCAAACACACACCCACACCATTAAGTATTTATTTTAGTTCTCCTATTAAAAAAGATTAATAAAAATAAAACATATAACTTTTGATTCAGAAGAGACTCCAAAAGGAAAAAGTATGAGTGTTTCTGGTGTTAATTAAAATACATCACCTTAAAATAGCTATATAAAAAGATACTAAATATACACATTTCAAGAAATGAAATTGTTAAAGCTATTTTATGAGAAACTGTGACTTTATATTCTTCAGCAAAGATAAAGAAGGAAACTGCTTCTTTGCCAACCAAGACTTGCTTAATATACTGGTTCAGTGCGAAGCATCTTGAGGGCAGACACAGGTCCTCCAGCCACCTGGATTTCAATGCCTCCTTTCCCTGTCCCATTACTATCCGTGAACTGTTCTTTCCAAACTAAACTTCTGACTTCTGAATTAGGAATAAAATCAGAAATTACATGTTTTCTCCTCTTCCATAATTTATTCTGCCCAGGAACCTCTGAAAATGAGATGATAAAAATGGGAGTCCTATAATCTTTGGGCTATATATAAGTCCCAAAGTCAATAGTACTTTAAATGGTTCCATTTCTTGCACCAGACCCAGGCAGGCCTATGCTCAGTTACAAATGTTAAGTACAACACATGAAGCATGTGAAATGCCCCAAATACCAAAAAACACTAACTTATCTCTGGCATACCATACTTTTTAAGGCAAAAGTACTTTCTATTATTGTTCTTCCCTATCTTTTAACGGATCCAAAAAAGGGAGATAAATGAAAACACACCAACTGTACTGCATGAAAAAAGCAACAAAACCACTCTTCCACAGGAACTTTTACTTCTCAACACCTAACGACACCACCATAGACAGTTTTCTCCAAGGCATTACCTGCTCTGAATCAGGTTTGTCACTGAGTTAATGAAGAAGCTCAAAACCCAACAGGGCTTTAGTTTATATGATGGTCAGATTTGAATGAAGCCCACTTCTGAGGAAGAGTGCTTTTGACTCCCCCCCTCCAACTATACATTTTCTGAGAAATGGTTTCATCTCTCAAGAAATGACTTGCTCTAGCTGTGGCCTGAACTGTCAGTACAGAGTAGCTTCCTCTTTCAACACTGTTATAACAAGCTTTTAAGAAACCCCCACAGGTTTCACCTAATTTATCATTATGGTAAAGGATCTCCTTTTGGAAAGTTTTCCAGGTCAAACAGGAAGGAGGATTCACATTCATCACAGCACAGATCAAAAGACCAAGAATAATGAACTTAAAAATAAAGCAAGGAGAAGACCAATTCTCAGTGCAGAATTAACAGCTGACTTTTCCCTTAGGTTTTAGAGGTAAAAAGTAAGTGTTTAGGTAATGATATCCACATTTATGTGGTACTTCCCTGCCAAGAACTCAAGGCATTTCAGAGACTCATCAATCCTATTCAGCTCCCAAAGTAAACAACTGAACAAATACTGTAAGTTTTCTTTCATAAATTAAGCAATGAGCCCAACGCACAGACACTACTAGATTAATGGAGAAGAACCACAAATCTTAGCACACAGAGTTCTAACATTTCAACTATTCATTCTGCAAAGAAAATTCTATTTGATAAATGGCTCCTCACTGACCATATAACCAACTAGAACTTCTGGTAGCAATAACGAGCCTGTGACATGCCAGATACTACAGGGCACAGCTTAGTGGTCCCCACCTTCCACTCTCACAACCTTCTGAAGTGGACAGTATGACGCCATGGTGCTGGCACCCAGGAAGCAGCATCTTCAGCTGAGGCACATGAGAGCAGCACAAACAGGGATACAAACCCAGGCCTGTGAGGGGGAAGGGAGTGACCTTTCCCATCTCACACGGCCTCTCTGTGCAGCCAGGCCGGTGCCTTCACCACCCTTTCCACACCTCCTAAATTTCTTCCTGCGTCAGTTTTCATAGTGTTTTTCCCCTCAGGTGTGACTTCCACCTCATTTCTCACACAAACCCCACTTCCTTGAAGACCAGCCTTGACTGAGCCCTCCATTATGGTCTGGCTCTGCTCTTTGTATCTGATACTGGTACTTCAGCAGTCATGTACAATTTTGAATTAGCAAGTGTATTTTAAGAGCCAGGCTACAGGGACATAAAGACATTATCTGTTTCAAGCTTTCTAAAAGTGTGTGTGGGGGAGTAGTAACTCCTAGTGCTGTACTACTCTGTACCTTGGGAAGAAGCCTCAGCTAATGCTGAGTGGCCTCAGCTGATCAGGCTTTGCTACACAGGGGAAGGAGGGGGTGGGGAAATTACAGCAGGTGGCGGAATTAAGGAGAAAGGCACACCAGGCAGGAGTGGCAAATTCAAGAAGATCGAAGGGCTAGGCAGGTGAGAGAGAGGTCCCGAAACACACAGAGGACAGACAGAAAGGCCTGGGTCACACCACAGGCCTGAGCAATGACCAGGACCCTGAGGAAGTTCTCTGAAGGCATGGAATGAGCACATCTGATTTAAGATAGGAGCGACCAGAACAAGGAGGAAGGCAATCTCATAGAGAGACACACTAAGATTAGTCAAGGGTGACAAGCACTGAACCAAGCAGGGGCAGTGGGAATGGAAAGAATTACTGATCAGGTCACACAGAAAGGAGTAACCTATGACTTGAGAACATTATTGGTGTCCAAGTTCCTGAGACACAGAGCCCTGTGGTAACAGCCCAGTCACTTCAGGTCTATTTTCTTGTCTGTGAGATAGAATGGGTTGGGAGCCAAGAGAATCACACAGAGTAACTCTCTGTTACAGACTACAGGCCTTCAAGAGATTCCAACATTCCTTGTCCTGGCTAGATTATGTCTGTAAAGGGCTGGGGAAGGCTCCAGAAAAGAGACTCATTGTGATCACGTTCAACCACTGGCACCCTGATTCCACCTAATGATTATGGGGTAAGGAGATGGCTTTATTGTGGCAAGATAGCTCTGCTCCTCTAACCTTGAGTCCAGATGCTTGCAGATCCTGAGCTATATGAAGTATTTA